CCTATTATCGTAATCATTCCCGGTGGGCGCGCCGCGCGCACTGCACGCGCCGTTTAGAGGGCCTTACCGGCTGCCCGCCCCTGGGCGCAGTCCCTTTAAAAAAAACAATAATAATAAACAAATACAAACATATATATATATATATTCACATTTATGTTTCTATATATTTATTTTTATTTATATGTATATATATTTTTTTCTTTACATAAATAAATTCGTCCCCCCCATTCCCACGAATCAGAATTATCGGAAATCTCAACCGATTCTCAGGCCGCAACGATGCCAAGTCGTCCCTGTCATGTAATCGGTGCTTCTGGTGGCACCAGTCTCGTGCACCGAATCGTTCGTCCCTTCATGTTCATTCCGAATGTCTTTTGTTTGTCTCTTTTCGCCATGCGCTTTCGTCTTTAAGAACTTGATAAATCAGCTTTGCTTGGCAAAGGCTTTATACTGGCACCTCAGCGCTGCGGAAAATACATGAATGTCAAGCAAGCCACTTAGTCCATCCTACAATATCCTACATCAATGAACCCGGAGACCGGCTACGATTCACTAAGCAGTTACAAGGTTGCAGCGTTTCAATGGGCACTGCCAGTGGGCGCTGCGGTCGCGCTGCGGGCTGAGAAGACGCGTATGGACCAAACAGCCTCTAACACATGTCTTCACAATGAACAAGAAAAGTTGCGGGGCTGTGGCATGTGCACAGCTTTGTCTCAAATTTTCACGTGTGCGTCAGATGTGTCAACCGCTGCACTACGAGAACACCCTGCAGGGCTTGCCCTGCGGGCTCATGGCTGACGCAAACCAAATGGCCGATGGCAAGTGTCGCTCAGAGTTCAATCATCTCCATGCCCGAGCTCTGGGCGCCAGTCCCAGTAGTCTCATGGCCTCGCCTTGGTGAATTTGCCGAAGGGCAAGCTGCAAGCTTGGGAGGTTGAGCTGCGTCCCGGCACTCTTTTGAGGACATTGGCGGCGATGGAGCTGTTGATGTCATCGCTTGCTTTGTATCCCCATGGTTTGCCGTTGCCGTCATTGGCACCTGCACTGGACCTTCAGGCGGAAGCTCCCTTTCCATGGCTGGCATGCTCGATTCAAAGCGTTGCCCATCATCTCCTAGCATGCCTGGCGCTTCTGGTGTGGTCGCTGACCGAAGAACTCCCTCCTCGCTGTCCTCCCGCGGGGTTCGAGGAGGCTCGTCCAGTGACACATCACTTTCCTTTGGTGGCAGCGTATGCCAGATCACTTCGGGCTCCTCCTCCTCCTCTTTGACCACTGACATAGCTACATCGGCTGATATGCCCAGCGGCTTGCCCTTGCTCTTGAAGTTCAATTGCGGCCCTAGCGTTTCTGCTTCCACCTTCAGGGTGGCTGTTCCCAGGATCTCTGACTTCGAGCTCTTGAGCACGCTCTTGGGCTTGGTTGCGAAAGCTGTGATTAGAAGCGTCTGGCCCTCCTCCACGTCTTCGATGCGGAGACCTGGGTGCCAGTTCATTGGGGGGTGGTCGTGGCCGGGAAATTCCACCGTCAGATCGGTCACGGACTCGAAGCCCTTGCTCGCCAGCTGTTCTTTGTTGAAGTCAACGGCTTCAAGATGCACATTGGCCTTCGCCACCTCCTGGATGCTCTTTTGAGTCCAACTCATGTCTGCATCCGCTTTCAGACACAAGAGGCACAGCATGAGCACGCATGCCACAAACGTCGGCGCAATCAGGGCCGACGTGAGGAGGTTTATCACCGCGCTGGTCACCCATTTCTCTGCATCCGTTGCGCTGACCACTGCCTGATAACACTCACAGCAGACTTCGGGCGAGGGCCAACAGCAGAGTCTGTTGCGTAGTTTTTCTTACTTCAGCTCTCACTATCATGAAAACATTTCTTGTGAGGACATTCTCTCCGAGCCGCCAGGAAAAGACAAACAGTCAAAAGACAGAAGACACTGTAGGCCAAGACGAAGCTTCGAAAGGTAGTCCGTGCAGCCTCAACCCTGGCTCCGCATGCGTTTTGGACGAGCACCAGGCAAAGAACAGGCAACGCACTAAATGTCCCTGATATCCAGGCCACAGCGGCGCACTGCACCATCTGTGCCCAGAACTCTGCCGGTTTTTCGCAGTCTGGGTCCTGGCCTCGACCCACTGATGTGCCTCCGAAGAAAATGGCAGAAAGGGCCCAGGTGCTGTAGAGCTTGGCGAACATGAGGAGGCAGCGGTCCACGCTGGCCAGCTTCCAAGATGGGGCCATAACATTGGTCCACTTGCAAAAGCTGGACCAGAGTATCCTGAATTGGCGATACCATGGCGAATGACGAAAGTCTTCCAGCTCCGCTTCTGCCTTTCGATGCACTTCAGTCTTTCCGACGCCGTGGAGCAGACCCTCGAGATAACGCCTGTCAACACCCAGCCTGTTTCTGAGCACGGTTGAGTAGATGAACGTTCTGGCTGACTGGGCACCGGAATGGCAAATCCGTCGGCATTGACGAACCACTTGCAGCACCGCAAGTACATCAGCACTGACATCCTTGGAAGCATGGCATTCACGCGCCCATGTGTTTAATCTCCGCATCTGAGACTGGTGCTGCCGATCAGCTCGGTGCGCCAGTCTCAGCAAGCAGCCAGCTACTAAGATAAGCCCCCAGTTGACAAGAGCGGGCGATTGCCAGGCCCAAGGTGTTGACACAAGTCCAATCAAAGCATCCTGCGAGAAGATGAAGGCAGCCTGGCTGCAAGTCAACACAGCAAGTATCAACGTGAAAACGGAGAGGTGCGTTGTGAGACACGTCGTCGTGCCATTTGTGACCCCAACCATGGTCACACCTTCTGTTGACCAGGCACTCAGCTCCTCATCCCAAAAAACACACGCATTTCTGCGATGAACGGCCTTTGTACTGAGCTGAATTTCTATCGGCTCTGGCAGAGGTCCTCGGAAGATCTTGCCATCAGGGCCTGTGATAAGAATACTTATGACCTCGCTGGCCACGAGCTCCTCGGCACTCCCTGCCTTGAAAGCCTGGTACTGGTCTGTGCTCTCGGGGAACACTCCGAAGCTGACAGCCAGGGGCGTCATGTCCTCGCTCTGAAGCTGCTGGAGAGTCTCTGCTGGCACGGACACGGAGCTGGATGTACGCCCCACGCTGGTTCTCAAGCCTTTGCTTGCATCGAGCACCACTATAGCCTTCGTCAACAACGTCATTCCTTGGGCATTCTCAAGCTCCTCCTCCTGAATTACTGCAACTCCATCAACCACCTCCACTTGCGAGAGGTTGACTCGACTGGCCGCCAGGACTAGACTGTCTACGGCAGTCTCCTGCAGACTGGACATCTGCTCAGCTTGATTGGACGCCTCAGTTGCTAACACGGCAGGGTCGTTTCCGGTGTAGGTGGTCGTCGAGCGAGATGTGGTCGTCGCGGTCATGCTGGATGTTGAAGTAGTTGAGCTGAAGGGAAGGGGTGGGAGGGTGTGCTGTTGCTGTACTACCTTGTTTCCGGCTTCATCAAGCTTCAATGCACGGCTTCATCCTGAAGCTAGGTGCTAGTGTATGTACGAGCAGCTAGAGAACCTCAATTCAAGCCCAACCTTAGCGAAGAGGTGCTTGTGCTCGACGTGCTGATGCTGGTCGTGGACGTGCTGGAAGTCCACGTCGAAGTCGTTGAAGTTGAAGTGCTCGAGGTTGTTGTGGATGTGTTGGAAGCCGAGGAGGAGGAGCTCGACGTGCTGGAGCTTGATATAGAGGAGCTCGACGTTGACGATGTCGACGTTGACGATGTCGAGGTTGATGATGTCGAGGTTGACAATGTCGAGGTTGACGATGTCGAGGTTGACGATGTCGAGGTTGACGATGTCGAGGTTGACGACGTCGAGGTTGATGATGTTGAGGTTGACGAAGTTGAAGTTGATGATGTCGACGTTGATGACGTCAACGTGGAGGAGCTGGTTGTGCTAGAGGTGGTTGTGCTTGAGCTGGCTGTGCTGGAACTGCTTGTGCTGGAACTGCTTGTGCTGGTACTGCTTGTGCTGGAGCTGGTTGTGGTGGAACTGGTTGTGCTAGAGTTGGTTGAGCTGGTGCTGGTGGTGGAAGTCGCGGTTACGGTAGGGGGTGGGGTCGGGGTCGGGGTCGGGGTCGGGGTCGGTGATGGGCTCGGCGATGGGGACGGTGATCCACCCTTGCCTCTGATCGTTGCATCGAGAGAAACTGCGAAGCAGGCTGAGCTTCCGTCTGACATCAGCGCACGATTGTGATGTAACCTGGGTGCAAAACCAGAGCTGTTCTTTAACAGGTCATTTGGGCACCGCGACCCCCAGACTATACTATCAGATACTATCAGCACAGTGTGGAAATCCAATAGTCATGTAACTCATGGCCTATGGCATGTCAGACTTCTGTGCGATGGCCACGCTACTCAAGACTCGACACGCTACCTCTAAGCGTGCAAACCATCCACTTGCAGCTTGCAAGCCTCTCACCACCACACCAACATCATTAGCACAGTCGCTGCCAAAGCAACCACCACAATGTTATCTTACTTCGAACATCCCCACCCTCTCTGAATACACATACTCTAAGGTTGGGCACTCCAGGGGCACTCTAGGGTTGGGCACTCGGTTGGGCACCCTGACTGGGGTGTTGCGCAGGGGGGACACTTTGGGGTTGGGCACTCCAGGGACACTGGGGTTGGGCACTCCCGGGATGAGAGAGGAGTAGACCTGGCGAGGAGAAGAGTTCCGGGCGAGAAGAAAACTTGAGATTTAAAATCTAACAACCCCACACCGAGGGTGGGGAACAAGAAGCACAGCAACAGCCACAACGACGATAAAGATGACTACGACCAGGCACTCCATGCTCGACGAGTCTCTCTCTCTTGCGGCCTTCTCTGAAGAATGGCACTCCAGGTCACAAGAATTTGGGGGAGACCAGAAACGGTTGTGTTAGCATACACGTTTTGGAGGATTTAAGGCTTGAGGGTTTCAGCGGTTTTGTGGGCTAAGGGTTTGCAGGGTTTCGACTCTCATGCTTGAACACAGGCAAGCAAGGCACACGGCCTCTCGGTCCGACTTACCATCTAACTCAGGATTACAGAGTTCAGGAAGGTTCGGTTAAATCACTCATTGCCTCGCATTGCTGGGGGGTAGGGTTATGGCAGTGGGGGGATATGGGAGTGGGTTAGGGTTCTGGGAGTGGTGGACTTTGTGCGTGGTTTTGAACTGGCACTGCTTGCACTGCTGGTGGATTACCATGAACGTTGTTATCCCCCACCCTCCCGCCCCCACCCCCCGAAACACAAAGATCGGGCACTTCAAGGGCGTTGAAAGTTTGTGGAAGTGTGATTTGTGTGGAGCAGGAACTGTCCTAAATACTGGGAAAATGCGAAAACAAGGGGCCGAATACACAGTACCACTACCACTTCCCGCGCCACCATCACCACCGGCACAGCCACAACCACCACAACCGACAACCACAAATAGACAGAAGAGCAACTATCACGCAGCAAAGAACAAAGTACAAAAAACAGCACCTGCAGCAACAGCCAGCACTTGTGGGCACGGTCCAAGGAGCATGTACTGCAGCACCTGCCTTGTTCGCTGGTCAGCGAACTCTTCCCAGCTCCAGGTCGCAAACCAGACGGTGCCAGCGCCGAGCGTTCCTTGGACAGATTCGCCGTGAATCTCCGGCTAAACTACACGCAACTTACACGCAACTACACTGCCAAAACCTGAAGAGCCCTGGCAGTGAGCTGCCTCGGTCACCAGTTCCCCAAGTTTTTCAGGTATTTCAGGTTCAGGCCAACCGTAGGTGCGACTTACGCGAGCCAAAGGTGCCTGCTGCAGACACATGCTTGCCACTTTCAATTCTTGCCGGCCGCATTTTGTGCATCGGGTTAAGATTGGGATTGGGTGTTGCGCACGGAGGGCGGACACGGGCGGTCGGGGCGCAGTAGCATCCATGCTGGCGAAGTGCTGCCGGATGCTGCCGGAATCAGATTTCAGCGAGTGCGGTTCGCACCTCTGTCGCTGGCTGCAACGAAGCTATGCGACCCCACATGGATGCACCTGGAAGGAAGCATCCAACAAGCTTGTGCAGCCAAACCGCATATGGCATATCAGTAGACACATGTACGTGTTTTCCTGAAATTGTGTGCGTTGTTTCTCGTGCTTTGGCAATGCGCACCTGTCAAGTATACGCTTGCAAAAGTTTGCAAACCAGGGCGCTTACAGGCCTAATTTGCACGGTCGCGCATCTTCTGTGCTCGTCACTGAGATCACCCCCAAACCCGATTAAACAAGGTTACAGTGTCCACGCAACAGTTGTCTGAGCTGCCAGGGGGCGATACGACAAGCTGTAGGACGAGGATGTCCAACCAGCCAGCCCAACCACACCTGGAAACCTCATCTGCAGATCTGGACGTCAGTGCTGGCTTTTCACAAGGATGTCGAAAGAGTACAGTATTTCGGACAAACAAACTCGCCACACCTTCCTCCCATCTACGGCCACTCAAGTCACTACTTCTTAGTCCAAGGTGCGAGAAGGTGGAAGGGCCACACCCCCCTGACCCCACCGACGCACTGGGCTCCAAATCATGGCCGCCATCTGCTAATGTGCGCCAGAGGTGATCGCTTTCATTGAACTTGTGCTGCTCGGGAAAGCCCCTTCCATGGCAGCTTCCATGCCAGATCCCTTTCGGAACCTGCGTCTGAAAAATGTTCGCATACACCACATGCGAAAAGTGTCCGGCAATGACAATGCCGCCCTGCTTCACGTAGCGCTGGACCAGACGCCAGTCCTGTGGAGGCTGGTGTATGAAAAGGGCCAGCGTGGACATATCGGGCTCGCAGCCACTGGAAATCTGGCGGCTGAGTGCCAGTGTGTCCTCGAAGCACTAGCAACTCAAATCCGCTCGAACATGGGCAACATACTATCATGGCATCGAGCAACATATCAACTCGAGAATGCGAGACTTTCTTGCATAAAAAAAAGTTGCAGGCGGTCCCAGCCAACGGAACCACACTCCATGACGGTAGTCCGGAGTGCAGCGCAAGGCCCCGCCAAAGTTGCCAAGGTTGCAAGCCAGAAGCTTCGAGCTACATTCTGGCGGATGGGGACCCACGTCATTCATGTAGACGTCGGACAATCTGCATCGATTCCGAGCTTCGCCATGCAGTCTACTGATGGACTCAGATAGACTGTCCGCGCAGTCCGGATCCCAGTGGTTGTCAACTGGTTGTCTTCATGCTTCGTGTGTTGCGTGTATCACTTTATCACAGACAGTCTAAACTTCTACCCCTTTGTCCAAAGCCTGGCTTTGCGTTTCGTGGTTCGTGCAAGACAAAGGCATCTTTTGACATTGCCTCTGTGAGTGACCTTGGTGGGCTTGAGCAAGATTGAGCAAGTACGCAAGCATATGCAGGCGGAAGGGATGGCCATGAGGGACCTGACCTGCAACTCGTGGCATGCGACATCATGCAAGCCTCTGAGAAAGCCAGCGGGTAGACTCCTCGATGAAGAACGTAAGACATGCTCTTACCCCTTACTTTTTTGCCGAGGCTCGCACCTCTGCCCTTGAGGTGTTCAATGCCAGGCCCAATGTCATGTTGACATTCAATGCTACAAAGCCTCACTCGGCCTTTTCAACGACATGCACAACATGTGTTTCAAGCCGCATGCCTGCAAGCAGCGGCTGCTTCAAGGCGCTACGCGCTGCAACCTGAGGAGCCGATTCTCTGGTAGCGGGGGTGAGGCGCGGATCACATCCACGGTGCTTCTGCGTGGACTACACCTGCGATGGAGTCTCCGATGGCTCCAGCCTTGTTTCGTCCAAACAAGCGTTTGAAAACGCAGCCAAGAGTAGCCGTTGGCGAGATTCGCAGCATCTTGCACTTTCCTCTGTTGATACCTCGATTCGATCAAATCCCGTTTTCCTGAGCCGAGGCACATGCTGAGGGAGAGCTGCTTCTGACCCGCGTCGACCTTCAGCACTCGCACCTTGATCTTCATACCGACGTGGCTCTGCTCTACAAAGGACTCCTGACAGAATCCACAGGCAAGTGCGGATTGTTGGCCATGGTGTCTTGAACAGGAAACCTTGTTTAAAAATACCCAAACTTACCGATGCCCTGAACTGCTGAAGCCCTTTACGAGGAGCCCTCCGGTCTAGCTGCGCGGCTGAGCGGTAGGGGGCTTCATGTTGTGGCTCTTACAACTAAAGCTGCAAGGAAACCTACCATCACAGACGCAGGGGGTGTGCTTAAGAGTGCTGGCCATTGGCTGACCCGGCTTCCGCGCAGAAATGCAATCGTCAACACGCTGTTAAACATGTAGTGCTTCCTTGTGACAGAACATGAAGCGCCGCCTTTTGCCTTCACCTCCAAGATGAACGTTTCCAAACACAACAAGCCACAAGCCCTGTGCAAAGAGAAGAGCTTCTGCTCTTGTTTCGCTCAACATGACGAAGTGTTGAAGTCAGCACACCTTCGACTCTCACGCTTTGGGGTTGAGCTGGCGAGTGCGCATATTGGCCGTGATATGAAAATGTACCGCTACGCAGAAGAAGGCAGCTTCTAGTCTTCAGCGGAATCTGATGGCAGGATTTGACGGACTCCTTTGACGTGCTGCTGCTTAACACTTCTGTCATCCCACCCAAAGCCAGCTGTCCGTAAAGTGCTCTTTTCGCAGCAGGGAACGGAAATCACTTCGCGTAGATGGCGCCGTCATCCTGCAAGCAGTAAGATTGACTAGAACGACATAGAACGACCCGTGACTGACCCATGCACGTTTCCTCCTGGGATTGCCGGGCCCGGGCTAGTGACCGTGTGAACAGCACTTTAGTACACTGGCTCCATTTCCCTCCACCACCAAGCACCAGCCGAAGGGCACAGGTGACGAGGAGATAAATATGATAGTCGATTTGGCGCTTGCCATGAGGGGTCTTGTTAGCCACAGTTCAGCGCTTTAGCTCCCCAAACATGTTGCATGCCCGAAGCATAGCACGGAAGACTGCGTGCAAGACATAGCACAGCACACAGCGATTTTGCATTCACTACATGGACATGGTTTAGCACATTCATGCTGGACCATGTCTGTAAAGTAGCTATCACTCTGTAGTGCCATAGAAACACAGCAGCCTTTCGAGAGCACCTTCTAGCAAACGACGAGAGGCCGAGCTAGCATACACCGTCGACACACGCTTCGCTGGTCACAAGTGCGTCTTTACGATTGGCCTGCCTAGCTCCTCCTGCCCATGACATTGACCCCTAAGACCCTAAGAAACATCGCCGAGGTGCTTTACCCATGCTCCTTTAGGGAACATGCCGCAGACCACAGCGTCGACCCATTCCTTGGGTCCATGTGCACGTGCACAGGCACGAGCTCACAGGCATGATCTTGGATGGCTCCTGAATACTTTCAAGAAGTACTTCGTGAGTCGGTTCACGAACCCTCAAGGCAAAGACTTCTGGCTTTTTTTTGGCCTTGCTTGGTAGCTTTGGCCAACTCGTCTCAAAGTCCTCCTCGAGGAGCTGTTCCTCTTGGTTGTTGTGCTCAGGGAAATCCTCTTCGGGAGCAGGCACTGATGGCGAACCCGTCAAGTCTGCCAAGTCCGTCATGGTGTCGGCCCCTCCGTGCGGCACCGATGATGCAAAGTCTTCCTGTTCGTTCTTGGAATCACTATGCTGACCGGGCTTGGGGCTGGTCTCGTCGATGTCGGACCCTAGCCACTCCATGCCCGTCTTGGCAGGTACGTATTCATCAGCTGGGCATTGTTCGGATGTCAGCCATGTTGGTGCGCCCCATTGATCAACGAAGTCCGGCACCGTCAATGCCTCTTCTTCCCAGGAGCTTCCGGCGCAAGCACCGTCAGCTGAAAACTGCACCAGGTCGTGCGTGAGGAGGTCCTGTGGATCAAGAGCAAGTCAAACTCATCCAGCCGCACAAGCATATCACCTATGACTTCCAACACTTCCCTAGTAAATGTCCAACTGCACAAAGTGAGTGTCGCATGCATTACGGACAGAGTTGCTGCAGGTATGCATGGGTGTGCTACAGTATGCGTCACTTCGACCGACATTGACGCCAGCTTAAGCGGGCTGCAAGTCCTCCACCTGGATCTTGGCATTTTCTCCTTTCCTCTCCCCGCCCCAAGTCGAGTCCTGGATCCATCTCTTGACAGTCAATGGCACATGATCCTGTCTCGAAGGCTTGCCACAACAGCTACTGACAGCCGCTAACACACCCACGCAAAAACAGATGCAACGCAATGCCCTGCAGTTCCTGCGACTAAACTGCCCAAACGCACGCCTAGGGGCTTGAAGTGCGGTTTTTGCAGCCTCTGCCTCTTGGACGGAGTTGAACTGAAGCACGGATGTCCGCTGCCCTCCGTGTCCAGTCTCGGCCTCGAGGAAGCACAGGCCCTCGGCATGCCAGCGCTTTCCATACTGGCAATATCCCACAATATCCCACATCTGCACTTCCACATCTGCAGCAGTACTTTCTGCCGAGCTGCTTTGCAAGAGTCCTTAGATTCTTAGATCTTTTTGGGCTCAAAATGGCTCAAAGCATGGGTCTCCTGCATAACTTCGATACACCCACTTACTAACATGTTGTAATGTCAATTGCAGCGTGGTAGCAGCACGATGTCGTAAGCACTTAACGAATGATTGAAAACTCTTGATAAGGATGTGATTGCAGTTGCCCATCCGAGTCGTCTATAAAGAACCCCATATCTCAGCCACCGTTGAGAACACAATTCCACCATCTAAAGAGCAAGACAAGCTGAGAATCGTAAACCTGCAGGCGCCGCAGCACTTCGAAGACACTTTGCGCTGAGAAGCCACGGGGAACATTCGTCAACACCTCTGTCGCGTACACGGCAGCAGGCGAAGAAGGTTCAGGATTTAGATCGGTTGGCAGTATCGCAACTTTCGGTTGCATTTGCATGAAAACAGGGGTCGTCGATTTTTACTGGCATTATCCTACTGCCGATCCGTCGACAAATTGTGATGAACCCAGGCATGTGTCGGAGCTGTATCGTTGGACATGCTAGTCAGCAACCCTTGCAACCCAGCCCGACTCTTCCACCAATAGCCTGCGCCATGCTGGCATGCTGCACATGATCGCTATTTCCTGGCGCTGACAAAGCGGACGAGTGGCTAACGCTGTCTTCTCTGTGTCGGCTTCGTCTTTGGCCTGATCTTCCTGCGGGTTCGACAGGGCATCTCTGCTAAAGCTGCACTTCTGGCAGGGCGGGTGGCAAGCCTTCCGAACCCATTCTACATCCGCGTCTCACAGCAAATCCCATCGCCTGTGCCAGGTATGTAGGCATGTCGTAGCCGTAGCCGAAGGGGAGCACCGTGTTGGTCCATCCTGTGGCAGGTGCCCACAGCTGCATAAAGGGTATACACGTGACAGACGTGCAAGCATGAAATGCCAGGAATGAATCCACAGGAAGATGGTCCCTCATGCAGCTCAAGGGTCCGTACCAGTCATCGTAGATTTCAGCCCCTGGCCTGTCACCACAGCCGCACCCAATCATTCATTCATGCAGCACTCGTCTGTACAAGTTGGACCAAAGAGCATTACAGGCAACACATCCGGCAGCAGCAGATCCATCCCTTAGAAGCAACAGTTGCACAGAAGTGTGCCAAGCTGAAAAGGACCCAGAACTCTCTGAATCCAAGTTGTCCAAGGTTCCATGGGCATCCATATCATCGATATCATCGTCTTCAGGCAAGTCTTGATGGTCGACTGACTCGCCCCTCAACATGCGGGAAAGCACCTCGTTCGATGTGTCAGCTTCTCCTACAGCTGGCATTCTAGGAACTATCCCGACTCAGGATTCATACCCCTTCAGGCCGACAGGTCCAAGCAGGAATCATGGCACGGTTCAGTTATGTGTGGGCGAGCCTAGCTTGAGGGATCTTGCCTGCGTGGCGCGGCTACATATGCACACATGACTGGGCTGGAGTGACAATTAAAGAAAGCGCTGGCCCGAGGTCCCGCGGTAGTAGAACATCTCTCGCGGCCAAGTTGCTGAAACTGCGTGTGTTTTATCCTGTGGCCCGCTTGGCTTCTCAACATTGGCAGCCTGCAGCCTCTGCAATGCTTCAAGGGCACATGCGTAATCTAGCAAGGGTTTCTGCTGCTGAGCTGTTCTTTCGGGTAGCCGTTGACTGACTGGCACCGCACGCTTGCACCAAGTCACCGTTTGTCATCAGCGTCGTTGAGGGCTTGGGCGTTCGTGTCACCATCCACCCCACCATGAACAACCTGTCCTGGCAAGATGTGAAATATCTTGATGCAACGCTGCGCATCTGGCCCAGTTGGCAAATGCCCGGACACGAAGCCTGGATTGTGGTATCGCGGAGTATCATTGCTGTACATTGTCTGATCTCCCGGACCAAATCCCCCGTCAGGCATCATGTCATAGGCCTTAGTCAGTCCATCGAAGAACACATGAAACGCAATGTGCAAAGATATGAAAGTGTTGAGCGTCGGCAAAATGCAATAAGAAGCGCAATGTCGCAAATATGTTGGAGGCACAATGAATGTCACCGGCTGTTGCAACCAAGGACAACATGTTGTTAAGCCGTTCGTCACTTAAAGCCTGCATTCACGTTTCAAAGGAACGAGGCCGGATCAGAACTTTATCCAAGCGGCAGCGAGCCCATAAGATCGGAACCTGCTCATGGGGGTGAGAGCGACTGCAGTGGAAGGAAAAAAGTTAGCCCAGAGATTGACCCTCCATCCTTTGCAGCTTGTGTATGCTGTATGCTTGCATTGAAACAATCCAGACACAAAATCTTCACCTGCTGCTAAAGGGGCATCCACCGTTCACGCAAGCGCCGTCGGTGGATAAGTGACTGCGTATCTGGCTGCGTACCTCAGCGAGAAGGGAAGATTGCCGCCTCCAGCGCAAAGGCTATGGTTACCGTGTCTTTCAAACTGTATGTGCTGCCGAGGTCAGCCTGGTCTGGCAGCCGCATCTTCCATCAACTTTGCAAAGCCATCTGCCAAGCTTGAACAGAAACGTCGGGGCTTGACTGGGGTCGAGAGAGAGAGAGAGAGAGAGAGAGAGAGAGAGACGGAGAGACGGAGAGACGGAGGCGCCGTGTGCCTGGGGCCCAGGAGCAATCCGCCAAGGGCTCTGCAGCCTCACGGGCCACCCAGGGGCGCTGGCAGGGCAGTCGAGCATTGAAGACCTGGGTCCGACCTCAACTCAGCTCTCGATGTCTCTCAAGTTTCATGATCTGCGGATTTTATTGCGTTTTTGTTTCTTTTTGTCTTGCTTTTTCGACGCTCGCTCTCGAAGGTCAACAGGTTCAATGTGTCATCGCTTGTAACTACAACCGGCACGCCATGTGATGCACCTTGTGGCGATTTAAGGTGTTTGTAGTTTAAGGCTTGCCTCAGTTAAAACGCGAGACATTTTCACAAACTTCTAAGGGCAACAGCTTCTGGCAGTAACTTAACCCTTAACTTGACCGCCTTAACCTGCAAATGCCTGCAACACCCTCGCCAGTTCAGCACGCACGTGGGAGCATCCAAATCTCGACAGGAATCATCGGCACTTTTGGACACTCCACCCTCACAGCTGCCATGCAAAGCTTTTCTGTGCAGGGTCGTACTACCGGTAACACCAAATCTTCTGCTTCACACTTGGCGCTTGTGCATGATCAGGCAGAGCCGGATGTCAACACTAATTGACAAACGGCTGCATGTGCGCCCTGCCGAGATTTGAGCAGATGCTGAAGCAAACTTATGCATCATGGCCATCAGACATCAGACTCCGACTTCACGGACAGTGTTTGTTCCGCTTTGGGTGTAAGATGCGGCAGGCCCGTACAAGCTCGTTGATGGCGCTGGCGCAAGGCTCGCACATCATAATTCTAATCAGCAATGCCTTCATCAGAGTCAATGGTGTAGCTGCAAGGCTGTGCCAGCTCAACGCAATTGTTCAGTTCATTGTTGAAAACTTCTCGATAGGACACCAATGCGCACGACCATTCAGCCCACAGCCGTCATAAGGCCGCCCGCACCGAGAATGACGCGGAACTATCATCTGGCGCTTGGCTTCTCTAACCATAGTGGACTTGTACTACGGCCACCAAACGGAGTACAAGCAAAGGGGTAAACAAGTAGCTTGAGCCATATGTCAGCAGCACACAAGTCCATTCAGCCGCATGACAAAACTAGAGCTACCACCGCATGAAGCCAACATGCAAAACATTGCACGCTCTATCTTCTCCCACTTGTCAAGCCAGGCCGCTGTAATGCTGGAGGTTAGCTTCCTGAGTTCACAGGCCATCACAGATGCCGCTTCCGTGCAGAAGACATATGTTCAATGATCCAACACGACTTTTGGTGGTGTACGTAGAGGCTGGGTCAAATTTGGCGACATCATGCTCTTTCCCGCACTGGAGACTCACAGTAACTGTAGCCAACTTTGATAGTGTCCATAGGAGGGTCCAGTACCGAAATGCACCACGATGCATCCGAATGGCCAGACCCTGGAGGTGTGCGACCGAAACGATCGCAGCTCTGCGCCGGTTATAGGGCTGCCTCAGCACATGATGCAAGGCACATGAACAGAGGATGTTCCCGCAAATTGCCACCATGGCAAGCATTGCGCTGCTAGCACTAGCAGACATGAGGATCCACTTTCAGCAGGTTGCCCTTTGAAGTAGTAGCCGCGTAGCGCATTCATGCCTTCAGCGAAATGGAAACATGCACCCCATGTGTACACGCCAGAGCCCAGGCAACCTTTTAAACACCCGTCTGAGGCGCGAGCACTTCATGCATGCATCCTCAGTCGAGAAGTTCACGAAGGCGTAGCCAACGTTGTTCTTTGTGGATGTGTCAATGGGCAAATACAGGAAATCGAAAGATCCTTCGTGGCTGCATCTGCGTTCTAAGACACGGCAGCGGACAGGAAACTAAACAAAGCCGTATGGACCGTGTGGAACTGAATCGGAATTGCAAGACCCTATGAGGCTGTGTGGGCAAACCCCTTGCAGGATCAGGAACCCTCGAAACCGAGACTGGCCAGTTCCGTCATCAGCGCCTCACGGTCCTGGGCAGGGCGGAACGCGTCAGGACACATCGGCCAACTCATGAGCCACGAGCACGAGACTTGACAATGGCCACAATCGATGCGAGAACAAGGATCATATGCATTCGGGACGTTCCGAAGCATGAGCGTAGTAACTTGCTTTGCGTCACCTGCAACAGCATGGCAGCTGTTCACCAGCCACGGCAAACCTCCGAAGGTCCACGGGAGCTTCCGGGCTGAAGGCCTTTCTCGAACTGCTCCTTGAGATTTGCACGCTTGGGCACCTGGCATCTCATAGTGAGCTCTACCGAGCGAGTAGGTGTGTGCCGAGTGAGCACTCGTCTGTCTGGAAGGATGCAACTGCTGCCTTTGACTCCTGCAATGTGCCTCCCCTACCAACCGCCTCAAGTAGGACGGGAGCTGGCCCGCCCTAATGTCCCCCCTTTGCCCTGAGCCTCCGTTCACATGTCAGGCTATTTGGGATCCTGTACAGCAGCTTGTACAGTTGTATAGCAGCTTGCACGGCAGCTAGCACAGCAGCTGGCTCAGCGCTCACCGACTGTCTTGCTTACGATTCCTCTCCGCGACAAACCCCATCCACCCTGTCCACCACAAACCTTTCTGTTGTTCTTTCCAGCGCTTGCCGGTGCTCCTGACCGACCCTGCCCTCCACGAAGATGCCATGCCGGTGGTCCCGAACCTGTTCCGGAACTCTTCTGGTTGCCGTTGGACTCTTCTGGCCATCATGTTAAGCGCTTTCGAGAAATCCTGCTGACGTATACGCACCCGATGTTTCGGAGCAGATTCCTCGTTTTCCTTCTTTCCTTCCTTTGTCGCTTTCTCACTTTCTTTCTTCATTATTGTCTTTTCTCTTTCTTCATCTCTTGATTCTTGATTTCTCTCTTTCCTTCTTTATTTCGTTCTTTCGTTGGGGCTTGGGCGAGAATGCACGTGCGGAAGCACACCCTCTCACTCTCGCTCTCGTGCGCATGTGTTCGTATCTTAGCCGATTTCCCTGCTCGCCCACGGAGTGCAGCACTTCAAGCCGCATCCAACCTCCTCCACCCCAAACCTGCGATCCCTTTCAGGTCCCCGATGGGCTTCTTGATTACTCCTTGTAGATCATGCGTGAGGGTATGTCGTATGCGTGTACCGTGTCTCCTCAGCAATTGCACCTGCCCATGACGACGTCCGATGAATCCGTCGCCGCTCTCTTCGCAGCTTCCCCACATATCCTGGGCCATGCTGCATTGCTGTCTGGCCCCATGCTGCTGTTGCTACGATACATGCAGTGCACATGCAGCATTGGCGTGTGCCCCGCGGCATTCTGCTGAGGCATACGAATGGCGACAGAATGTCTAGCGATACTTCGAAGACTACGATACCAGTCAGGTTCAGCCTGATTTCCTGCATCATACGAGGCGCTGGGCTGAAGAAGTTGTCCCCATACCACTCGGCATCTTCCACATACCTGGTAAAGCCAGTGCGATGCAGGCGAACGTGCCCTTCACCCCAAACCCAGATGTCTTTCGAGGTCAACATAGTAATAGGGTCAAATCTAGCAAATTCGACAGCAGCCGGGCAGCCACATGTTCGGGAAGGCATCCTGCAAACCTGCTTCAGGACTGGCCCTGGAAGACCTCGAAACAGACTGCAGGGGCTGCAGGGGCTTCCCGAACTATCTTATAGCCCAGTGGTTTCGCCATTTGACTGAACCGGAAAACAAGAAATCTGCAGAACTTGATGCGGGAAGCCAATCGCCAGGTGCAGGCCATTCCCATGGAGGCGCGCTGAATGCGAACCCGGGCGGCATGTCCCAGTCTTCTCTGTCATTTGTCCTTGGAGCCTCTGCTCCATCGGCCTGTCATTGCACATATTTCCACGCAGCCGACGCTGTTTGTTTCAATGCCTTGTTGCTGCGGGGTTGGTTGTCTGGGATCGGATGTTCATGGTCCGCTGAACCCAAGCGCCAAAAGCTAGACTAAAGAAATAGCTGCATCGATTGGGCGCGTGCTGAATGCCTTTCTTCTACCCCACGTCCGCCTGGTCAGGAAGGCTTTCTGGCAGCTCAGCTGGCAGAACCTCCTCTGCGAAGTTCAGTAAGATGTCCGGATTGTTCACTTCCTCGTGTTCTTTTCCTTTCGGCACATATGCCTTGGTTTCTCAAACTGCTACCCCCACCAAGTCACTCATTGCAGCCAGCCAAGCGTCTTCGAACTGGGCTTTCACATCTTCATCTTTCCTCGTGAATTCCACAGCCTGTGCGAGCATCTCTTAAGCGCAACTCTCCAAACACATTCCTGGCCAGTCGAGCCGGGTGGCAGGACCGTGCCAAGCTGACCAAGAAGCCCGCGGTGCCTTCTCAAACAACAACTTTTCTTTAGCACCCCAGATTCATACAAAGATGCACCAAGATGCACAAGGCTGCATGTTGCATAGCTATCGAATCGTGTGAGCATCAACCCAGGTGATCCCAGCCTTTCGCACCCAGTCCCGAGGCATAGCATGCGGGAACCATCCATCTACTAAAACTTGATCCCGCTGTCTGCGGATTCAACCGATGCGGGGATGTGCTGAACAAGCTTACGGAAGGCAGCGTGTGCACTCCAAACTGACATGTTGTGTTGCGTAAGCCATGGGGACCTCGTGTTCAATTGCATCACATGCATCTATGTCTCAGGCTCCCTTGCAGTAAAGGCTCGGTCGGTGAGATTCCACCTCGGCTCTTGCCAACAGTGTGGAGCAGCGTGCCACTGTAGCCACATGTAGCCACGCAACCGTCAGTGAGGCATGCGGGACACCACAGGCAGAGTAGCAAAGTGCAACCAAATCGCTGAACTCTGCTATCTGACTTTCATCAGGAGATACTCGAAAGCCTCGGTTTGGTTGCACGGAGACTCTGCTTTCAACGGCTGAGACTCGGGGACCATCGGTCTGCAGCAAGGATAGCTTGTCGCAGTCTCAGGGCTGCCATAGGCCATAGGCTGCCATATCAACTTGCAGGCCAGGCACGCTCGGGACGCTCCAAACTGCCGCTGCGTTTGGTCAGCCAAATCTTTTCGCCGTCATTCTCCTCGGATGGACATTAACCCAGTAAAGGCTAGAGGTAATAGCAAGACGTGGAAGTTCTTCACCTGCTGGGTCAGCACGGAAATGAGATCACCTGCTGTGACCCACACCTGGTTCTAGTTGGCATCCTCTGGCATTCAACAGAAAGCGGCCACATGGCACCAAATGTTCTCACATTCCTCCCAGCTTTTCCACATGCTTAATGACAACGGCATGCTGTCGCTTGGCATCCGGAGGCATCACAAGCTTCTAGGCCAAGCCATGGTGCCAGGACGCGGGCCGTCAGCGTGGATCCGCGAACTCGGGCATTCATTCACGTCGGAGGAGGGGTGACATATGGCGACATTCAAAAGAAAAGTCGCTAAGAAGCCAAGCGACGCCACGTGGACATTCCCTCCATCGGGAAGCCATCGCAGGCTTCCTGAACCGAAATTTGACCGACTTTGGACTATGGGGGGGTACGTGTGGACTGCAACTTCTTGTTCCGGTGCTCGTGGCTGTTGCCCTGAGCCCAGCGGCAAGGCAAGCTGCTCCTGATTTCTGACCATTCTACCACTCACGAGCAACTTCGCTCGTCTGCGTTTATCCAGCGGTGCTTGGCCGTGGCCTGTCCTTCCTCAATTTCGTTTCGAGCATTTTCAGGAATAGATGCGATCATTGTGTGATGTTGCCTGCGGGCCCAACCCCCAAAAGCGGGGACCTGCGAAATCCGCCAATGGTGCTCCTGATGCCATCCGGGCGCGTGGTGACCACCATCGACTCTCACTCTCGCGCACAGAAGGCAAGGCTTCGGTCAGTCCAACATACAATGAGACAACTCAAAAATTCTGGACCGAAATTAATGAGCATCATAAGCATCGTCGGCAACCACTTCAAAGGGCGACAACAGCAAAGTTTGCTTTTTGCTATGCTGACCGCTCGATCCCCCTTCGCGCAGAGCGCTCTTCACAATTTCCTCGTGAATTCGCGGCCATGATCCCGGCAGTTGACTGCCAGGACCGAAATTTTGTTCGAGCAAGAGCCTGCAAAACCCTGCCATCATCCTAAAGCTCGACTCGCGCACATCAGAGGCATGCTTCACGACACTCGCGGTGTTATGGTGAATCTTCGGTGAAGTGTGGAGCCACCTTGACCGCATGCTTCAAGGTATGTCAGGGCAAGCAGTCGCAACCCGGCAGCTCGAGGTCTCTCCGTTGGGTCATTGGACTTAATCCAGGCAAATCGCTGGTCGGGCTTTGTGGCATCGCAGCATTGGGGACACGTGCTTCATGACTTCTGCAAAATTCAGTGACTTCATGAGCTGGAAATGAAAGAAGCAGCGCTTCTCCTCAAATTCCAGGAAGGCGGGCTTCTCAGAACCGACGTTGACAAACCTCAAAAGAAAGAAGCATACCGCCTCTGGCATGTAAACTCCACGTAGACCATGCTACCACAACAGAGATCCAACAACAATGCAGACAATGCAATGTCAAGGCACCAGCCACTAAATCTGTGCTTTGAGAGGATCTGGGCATCCACCTCCATTCCAACCTTGAGGCTGTCCAGAGGAATCCTCGCAAGCCGTACAAAATGACTGTGGAAGCCGCTGCGCTGGTTCCTCGCGCCGGGCTACCCTTTGCCCAGGCGTGATCACCAATGCCCGAATGCAAGGCAAGACTCCTATGGTCTACATGCGCAGTGCTGGCAATAAAGAGGTGCAGATGGATGAAAAGCATCGAGGCAGGAGTCTGGTGCACCCGATCGAACATCCTAGAACATCCTCTTTCAAGCGCGGAGCGCGCACAGAGGCAAACAGCAGATGGCTGTACACTTCTCAATCCAGGTGGGAGGCCTCATCACTCTCCCATGTAGCCTCGTTTAGTTACGTTTAGTTCAGCGCCTGCCTCCCTGGTGCTACGAGACGAAAATGCTGCGGCACATCATTGGCGCAGACTTCTGAATGAAGTGTGATTCGGCAATGCTGTGAAATGTTTGTTTACATCAACGTAAAGAACATCCTGGAACATTCTAGAACAGAAAGGTGCTCCACAAAGATGCCCCGAACCTGCAAAAGGAATACCTCCCGTGCCTGGATAATCCACACGTGCTTCAGAACGTGCGCCCCCTCTCCCAAACACTCGCAAAAAAAAAGGCATCCTATGCCCAAAGGTTCTCACGGATTTCGAAACCCTCTGCCTCTCGTCAGCGCTGGCAGAAGCCGCGAAGCCCGTCGAAGCTGAGAACACCAAGCCTGTTGCCAAAGCCACTGCCAGTGCCTGCATCGAGTCGAGGATCTTCAAAATCCGCCACCATGCGAGAAACGATCCAGGAAGTTGAGATACTCAGGTGAAAACTTAGAGCCTTCCCATGTCTCGTCCCAAAACGATTCCAGGAGGCAGCCGGCGCCATCGGCGGCAAGGCACGACGGCGCATGGCACTTCAAGGGCTCTGAAGACTCTGAAGACACGTTGCAAGGTCGTGTAGGGTGTTGCAGGTGCCATGCGCAGAATGCTCTGCGATTGTTCGCCACTTGAAGGTTCACATGACAAAGCACACACATGAGAAAAGTACAGAAGCTCAGGTCAAAGCATTGCAAAGCCATGTGTACGGAATCTGCATCCACAGCGTCACTCAGCTTGATGACGGTTCCAACTTGGCAGCATCTGTTGCAGGAAGGCAAGGACGATGCATGCTGCTCTCTACAGTACAGCACTCACGGCATGCTTTGCCGCCTTGCCATGGGTACTTTTTTCACACTGTGCAACACATCCACTTCCTGCTCCAGTTCTGCGTTCCTGCGCATGTTGTGCGGACAGTCACCAGGCAAACTTGACGCAGTGTTAATGCTGTGTCAGAGATGGGTGCAGACTCAGCATTTCAAGGTTGAAAATACAAGGGGAGAGTCCAGCCTTGCTTGAAGTCGGCGCAGGTCCAGCCGATACTGCTCCAGCATGACCTGATCCTGCCTGGCCAAGCACCGGCAGGTGGATCAGGTGGAGCCGGATCTTGGAAGCACATTCCTTGCTGCAGCATCTCCGGGACTTTTTCCCCTAAGTGGGATTGTTGCACTGGTGCACCTATGCCAGACTTGCAAGACTGCTTTGCAGCCGCTCAACTGCTGCCAAGGCAGCACTAACTGAGCTAACAAGAGAAGCTCTGGTGCTGGAATTCAGCTCTGGCAGTTACTACGGCACGGAGTGGTCCAGCAAACGCGACTCACTTCAACCTCTCCGACTGGCGTTGAGCACGGAAATGCCACTCGGCACCCCAACATACATGCGACAGTATGACAGACACCTGCTAAACTTCTGAGTGACACAGGACTGACTAAGCTGGCAGACAGCACTTGTCGGGATGCAAAGTCCTTCAAGCACCTATGCACCTTGGGTGTAGGATTTTGTCAGTCACTTTCAATTCCCATCTTGTCACAAATCTGGGACACCATTTTCACGAGCAATGCCTCAGATGAGTTGCTGGCTGATGCAGGAAGCCATCGAGGCTTGCACCGTCTGAATCCAAACACTATAAACCATAGCCCTTCACCAGCCTTTCTGGAGGCGAAACAAGAAGAAACCCTGCAGGGACCCTTTGAGGGACCTTCTCGGACCCAAGGACCCACTTGACGTCAAGGACCCCCTATGACCCGGACCTTTCTAGAGGTCAAGGATTTGTGGGTGTCTCGGCCTTTTGGCTTCAATGTTTGGAGGCACATCTTGTGGCCGAAGAAAGGACTGGGGCAAGGGCATGGGCTTTCCAGACGAGGGCTTGGGTTAGCAGCTTCAAACAATGGCAGAGGGGAGGACCGCTGAGGTGTACGACGGTGTCCGAAAGCTTGCAAGTTTGAAGTATAGACCCGCTTGGGCCTTCTTCCCACCTTCACGGCTTCAGTTGGGGTGGCCAGAGCGGGGAGCTCTTGAATTTCACAGGCTCTGTCAGCTCCGACCACGGGTAGCGTGTGCAGCTTGCAAGGTGCCAAATGACTCCAAGGCACCGTCTTTAACCTGATGGAGATGATGTCCGTCTTAGACACAGGGCCTCGACACTTCAACAGGCCATCTACCATCTCATCGAACTCCAGCTCGCCACCTCATGCGACTCGTCTCTTCAAGATTCTCAAAGGCAGACGCCCCTGTGCCATCTCACGCATCATTCAATTTTCTAGCTACCGAAGCCGTTTTGCAAAGGCTGCTAAAGTGGACACTGAAGCCTACGTGACTAACAGGCGCAGCAGGCAGCCTTAAAGTTTGTGCACGGAACGCTCACTTGCACGAGACAGGACAACAGGTTCAGCTAAGTGCTTCTAGCAAATGAAGGGTCGGAATGAAATTGCAGGTGCCGACTTCAGTCATCTTCAATCGTACGGGGCTCATGCTGGGACCCTGGGAGCCGTGCTGAGGTCGGCATCCAGCACCTCCTGGGTGAACACTGCACAATCAAACTGGACCCCTCGGCGGCATCAACTTGGACAAGAATTTCTCTGATTCTGATGCTTAAATCCAATTCGAAGGGTCGAAAAGATCTGACTTGCAAGAGAGGTCGATTTCGGCATCTTCGAGCTTGTTAATTAGCTCCTTCTCTTGGGAAAGCCACCTGTCACGAATGGGCAGCAGAACTAATGGACAGCACAACTCCGCTTGGCCTGTTGAACTGCTCCTGGGTGACCACAACTTTCCGCTCCACCATTTCTGTACGGATCGCATCAGCCAGAGACTCGTACTCCTTGATGGGGCACGCATGGGCAAGCGATGATTCATCTGATTTCTGACACTAATATGTGCACCATGCGCCTCCCTACACTAATCGCATCCCCCAAATATTAATCGGGCGGGGGCCCCCCCCCCCAATAGAAACTCGAAAGGATTTTTTTTAGGGGAATGTATCCAAATGTCAGGTTTTGGGTCCAAAGTTTCCAAAGGGTTTAGGGTCTAGGCTTCAGGGTAATTGCGAGAGAGAGAGAGAGAGCTCTACTCACGCAGCACAGCAAGGCTCAGACAGAGGCTTTGCAGCCACTCACTCACTCACACTCACACTCACACACTCACAGCTTAGTGCTGCGAAGTGACTGGGAGGGAAGGGAGCTGCAGGATGATGGTTGGTTTGAGGCTTTGGGAGCCCTCAACCCACCCCCTGATTCTATAATTAGGGGTACGTTCAATAAACAAGGGGGAAGTGATTAATCGAAGCATCCTTTACAACAGCTCATGACTTGCCGCGGAAGCGGAAGGTCACATCCATATCGTGACATGCGCTGCGCAGAGCATGCCGGCATTGCTCAGACATGACAGTGACCGTCGAAAAAAACATAAAACAGGGGACCTGGGCGGTGTGTGGCGTGTAGCCGTACATCTCCCGGAGCTTCTCCAACTTCTCGTTGAGGACCTTGATGCGCTCCTCCTCGGACATGTCTTTGGTCTCGTCGTGGAAGATGTTGGCCATGATGAGATGCCTGAGAGAGGTCGCCAAAACCCACTCCTTGGTGTGCAACGGCTCACGATGGTTGCCTCTTTATCACAAGGCCTTGGCTGCCGAAGGATCTACTACATTGTCGAGGTTCAGTTCTCGGCGCATTCTCGCCCAGCTCGCGTTGCCTCTTTTTCGTGCTGCCATCTGCAACGTTGTCGATGAATACCTTGCAGCCGGCTGTGCGATGTGTGTCTGGGTCCATCGATGGATCAGCCCCGGGTTTGGACAACGCAAAACAGCACGTTAAACCTGGCAAAACAACACAGGCCGGGCCACTTTTGTGAGCGAAAACTGCCCACAGAAAAGACCGATGGGGTTCTCTGAAAATCCCGTTCCCCAAGAGAGCTCTGAAGAAGGGCAGCTAAGATCATAGCTAAGCAGCTGCCATGATCAGATTGAAGATTCCAATCGTCACAAAAAGAAAGAGCAGTATATAGGCAAACCTCAGGAGCTCACCCCGTGAGCAAAACACATGGCATCGGCAACTGCAGCAGCTCTGATCGGCATGCTGGGGAGCATGAAGATGCCCCCTCCGTCTTCTCTTCGCAAACGTTCTTGCAGGGGTCTTCCATCCAGATCTGCCTCAGCATGACATGGCACCTGCTCTGCACAACTCTTTCGCACTTTCTCTTTCTTCGAACTATGTTCCGTCTTCCTCTTCTTCTCTTCTTCGAGACTTCGTCTTCGTCGTTCTTATTGGTTTTCTTTGTCTTCTCCTTCCCCTCCTCCTGCTTCTTTGTTCTTCTTCTCTGTGGGATCTGAGTTCAAGAGTTGTGTCGGGCAAACACGGTCGATGGCCCTCCTGGCTCCCTGCTTTTTCACGGTCCGGTCTCTGGTTGAATCATCTCCATGCCTTTCATGCGTCGACTCCGCGGCACGCAATCATAGCCCAGGAGCCTGGTGCCCCCACGCACTACGCGTGCGCTGGCTGCTGCAGTACTCAGAGGCACAGGAGCCCTGCTGGTCCGGGAGATGTCTCACATCGTACCCTCCAACCCCCTTCTCAGGCCCCAGGAAGTAACGGCCTGGAAATGAGGCAGTCTCTCTCTCTTCTGCGCTCATAGCGCCCTTCAGTTACGGGGGCCGCCCAAATGCGAGCATCACCGAGTCTGTCTGTAGGTACCCCCCAGACTTCACGGAACTTGCAAAACAGATCCAACACCACAACTACCCAGTTCTCGTTCCATCTTGTCTGGCTCTCCCTCTCTGCTTCTCTATCTCTCCGTCTCTCCGTCTCACGCTTGGCCCCCCCCTCCCGCCCCAATGGGACCTTTCATGGAGTGGGAAGGCCGCGCGGAGGTGTGCCGTCACCGAATTTTGCCGCCTTGGCCCCCCCCGGGTGAGAGCGGCCGCCCGACGGCGAGCGTCAACCGAGTCGGTTCGTGAGACTTGAACTCAAGTCACAAGAGACTCTCTGAGTTGCCATTCCCACGACTTCGTGGTGGAGGCGGGTCATCACGCAGTATGTTGGGCTGTGGCTGGTATGTACCTCCAGCCTTTGTCACACTGTAAACCTGCCAATGAACACGACTGTGTCACATGGCGGCGGGCTTTGCTGAGGCAAGGTGAAGGTGGGGTACCGGGCATCGACGTCAAAGCATATATCGGTAGCGAAACAGAGACCACGGAAAGTAAGAGAGAAGCTCATTGCCGCCTTGTGTGCGTCCTTCACTGGTGATGGGGTCTCGATCTTTTTATGCTTCCATTCTCTCTCCCTTCTTTTTATTATTATTTTTCTTTTTCTTCTCTGCTTCCTAGTCTTTGGCTCTTCCTTTATTTCATGAGCTTACAGGGTTGATCGAAGGTAGAAAGATTCCAGAATGAAAAGAATTCGCAGAGTCTTACTCTCTCTCCGTCCCTCTGCTTTCGCGTCCTCTCATCTGCTCTCTTTCTCCCTCCTCACACGGCACGTGCAGGTGCCAAGATGCGCAACCATCAGTAAAGCACCGGAAGTTGGTGAACATAGCGTCCGGCACGGTTTCAAATTCCTCGTTGTGGGCCGAGGTGGGGGCTTGCAGGGACCGTCATGAACCCGTGAGAGCCAAGGAGAATTGCAAGTGAAGAAAGTCCCATGTCAACCCCAAAAGTCGGATGGCTGAGTAACTGGGCTAAACTCTCTCCACTGCAAAAAACTTATAGCTACTGAAATGAAGTTCACATTCATGTGACATTATGTGATGCGCCCCCATCTTGCCAGAGCCCAAGCCACAGGATGTTTCCAGAAGAAGGTTTTGGTAACCACCCCAAGGAGGTACATGCACAGCAGCAGCAAGACCACCGCCCAGAAGAGCACACGCAGCCCGGTGAAAACCTTCTTGGCAAGCCACAGCAGCGCTTGAGATGACATCAGTTTTCGCTGGGTCGGAGCTGCCACAATGCTACTACTTAGCAGTTTGCGAACTACTTCTGTTTGTTGCCTCCATGGAATATATGGAATCTCAAGGCAAGAGCTAGCTCAAGCTGAAGTGGCCCCCTGGATCATCAGCTTCAGCTCCGTGAAGATCCTCAACAACGGAACAATACAGATCCCAGCACGGGGCAGCATGACAGGTCTGACATTCTGGGAGGCTCATGTCGGCTTGCGCAGCTTGTGGCAACGTGCTTTTGAAATCAAGGAGTCAAGGCACTTGAACTTCAGCAGCCGGATGATGCGGCCAAGGCGGGCCAGCTTCAGCATCTTGAGGCTCCCTGCCACGCTGGCATCGCCTCCTTCAGTTTCTGTGGACGTCGAGTTGGACGTCGTTGTCTCCGAGAGTTCTGCAGTCACCGCATTTGCGAACAAATCCACCAAAGCCAGGACAACGCAGAGGACGTCGAACCAGCTCCAATACCAGTCGGGGCCTGCAACCCATTGTACTGCATGTCACAACTTGTCATGATTGTGACTCTAGGCCCGAACCTAGCAGGAACTCGCGCACGGTAAAGATTCTTGCTTTCACGAGGATCTCGGCAATGAAGAAGATGGTAAAACCAATTTCGAGGATCTGCCGCATGATGGCACGAGTCTCGAGTCTATGAGACTTGCAAGAGGAGTGGAGTGGACACAAGAAAAACCCGCCGCCGCACGCTGTCGCAGCACGATGCAACGTCGGTAACACACTGTGGGTATTGGAGCAGCCTGCCATACTGGACTGTCGGGGTCCATGTCCGCGCTCAGACCTTCCAGCAAGGTACACGCAACAGTGCCTTGCAGGTTTGAAGGGTTGCACATGAAGGCTTACACATCCCTTGCCGACCGGCCGGCGGTTCCCAATGAATCACATGCCCAGTGGCCGGCAACAGCTGCATTGACCATGATGACGCAGGCCGGGATGATATCCAACAGCAGTAAGAAAGTTGAATTATCTTCGTGGACCCTTAGTCGGGACACTTCATGACAACTTCATGAGTCATGATGAAGCAGAGGGTCTGTTCAGCGGCTTGAGTGCCGAAAGCACTGTTTTTTTGCATTTGGCCGTTAGGGGTTTTGGGCCCAAAAGCTTGAAATCTGTCCCCTCCCGTGAAAAGTCGAAAAGGTCTCCTTCCCCCCGTCTGCTCCGTCCCTTCTTTGGCGAATGTCTCTGCTTCTTCTTCTTCTTCTTCTTCTTCTTCTTCTTCTTCTTCTTCTTCTTCTTCTTCTTCTTCTTCTTCTTCTTCTTCTTCTTCTTCTTCTTCTTCTTCTTCTTCTTCTCCTTCTCCTTCTCCCTCTGCTTCTTATGTGCTGTGCCACTGTGCCCGTGCACGTATCGGAGGCTCTTTCACATGGACTGTCTGGTCGGGCTCCACGTAGCAACAGGCAAATCAGGAGAACTCTTTGGCCTTTGTTCGCCCAGGCCGTCACCGTGGTCTGGCTGCTTGGGTTTTCCGCTATGCCGCTATGCTGTTGGCATGCCAAAATCTTGGGCAGCTGGGGTTGGTTTCGCGTTGAGCTCTGCAGGCGTGAGGTTGCCTCATGAGTTTGGCTTAGGCCCGGGTAGTAACCTCTGCATTTGGCACGATGTGACTTGGACTTTACGCGAAGCATCCAGGCTTCTCGGCTACCGTCCTCGGTGGTCAGAGACAAAAGGTGTGGCCACCACCCTTTCTTGGATGGCCGTGCGGCCCGTCACCGTGGTCTCAGTTGCCCATGCCTGCTGATCGGAGCTTGATTCAGGCCCCACGACGTGGCCTCTGTTTTTAGTTTTTCGGATGACAGCCATTTGCGCCTCATCTTCGGCCGCATGACATTGGGCAACACCAGTTCATCCGCACATGCCAAAGATTTTTTTGCAAACGCAGCGCTGGACGGAGCTGTTTGGACATTCATTCTATTGTACACGCGTTCTTCTTGCTGCTTCACTGGATGTATATGCTTAGCCACTGACCTCTGGACGGTTCTTTCAAGACTTGTGCTGCAGGCATGGGGGATACCAGGGGGGCTTGACGTTGCATCCTCTTTGCGGCCTAGTCAACATGTTATATGGCTGAAATGGTTCTGACTTTGGTTTGCGTGTTTTACAGGGAAAACGGATGATCAAAATCATTATCGCATGCGCTTACTAATTAAGAATCGGAGCACAAATGAATGGCGTGCCAGTCGGGTCTGCGAATGGCTTTCGGCGCATGTTTCTCCAAGGCTTTTTTGCCCATGGGACCCGCCCCATCTCCCAGACATGATTTACAACACGGTCCTGCTACACCTCCATCATGACGAAGCATGTACTGGCTTCGTGCCAAGTGGCTCCTCATGTATACGGGTTTTCCCATTCTGTCGTGGAGATGATTTAGTGCTCCTTGGCGTCGCAAAAGACTTCCTCCTGCTCTCCAGGTCCGGTGGAGGTTCACCTCGGCGGGGCGCTCAGCTGTGTGCAGATGAAGAAAGCTGTTCAAAGCTTCCTCTTAAGCTTCAAACGTGCTCCTGGTCGTGAGGCTCGAATGAAGCAAGTCTCAGATTTAGGCAGGTTGCCTGGCTCAGGTGGTGAAGACGAGTCCGTGTCGCAAATCACGGCCCCTGGCCTGTTCAACGTTAGCACAAAATACCGAGACGATACATGTGAAGATCGTGCATCCCGGATTCCCGGATCATTCGTCCAAGCGGCAGCTCCAAACAGGCCGGCTTCAGGGGCGCCACCACTGCCACACCCCAATTCATCGGAGCTGGCTCGTTGTCTCTTGCGTGAGCCCGCAAAGGTTCCTCAGGGTGCCATCAGGGTGCCAAGCCATGGCCCCCTCGAAGCATCTCTTACACCCACAGTGCCAACTGCGGAGACTCCAGTGACTCCAAACTACTGGCCTTGTGCAGCTGTTGTCGTAACTCAGCATTCTCGGCCATGATTTTCTCATACTCCGTCGTGAGGGCAGTCAGGTGAACGTGAAACGGAGATCCTGTGAAGGCCATGGCTTCTGGCTCGGCGCGAGGCAGTGTTGGGAAAAACTGCTCCGCGTCTGCCCCCCCCTTGATCCGTTCGCATGGCCGAGGTCTGTGGCACTTCTGGACTTCGATCCCTTTATCCACCCTCTTAGAGTCTCTAGAGGCCCGAGATCCCGAGAGCAGTGAGGGCTCGCCGTGCTCACTGAACCCCCAGGCCTCACGAGATCCGCGTGCAAACGATGGTCGCGCATGCTGCAGGAATGCACGGACTACACATGACAAACTGAAACGCGCAAGAGCGCGGACACTTGCTAGTTACCGATGGCAGGTATGCTGCCATACCCGAGTCGATTGGAAACGATGATCGGGCACACGGAGATGATAAGCTGTCTTGTCAGGAAAGTATTTGATCTGGTCGACTGGTCGAGCCATGTCAAGAAATGGGCATGCAGCATTGCCAGCATGCTATCGTGCTTTCGTGCAGTGCACATGGTGGCCTCGCAGCTGCTGCCAACCGTCGCTCCTTGCAAACGCGGCTTGGAAGCGCATGGGTTTTCAGAGAACGGTATGCAGAACAGGCCTCGCGCTCCGCCTCGGATCGGCGTCGCTGCGCTTCGCCGACCTGAGGCAGAGTACAGCTACATGAACATGGGAAGGGATTGGGCGCTCATGGGAAAAGTTCTTGACAGACGACACCCGCAGAGAGAGAGAGAGAGTGGTTGTTTCCAACTGCTAATATCACTCCAAACTCCAGGCGTTTGCAATGTAAGCTATGGGTGCCAGAAACCGGCTGAAACCTTAGCTTAGGATAAGGGTGCACACATGTGCACACGCACGCATCCACAACAGTCTGGCGCGTCCTGTCCATAGACTCAGGTAATTAGTGTTTCACGTTGTAGCAGCACCACACAGGTCCAGCGTGCACCTAGCGGCGAAAACCTTCTTTGCTGCGTGCGGCGCTCTGAAGATGCAAGTCTCGTGCTCTCGCGTCCCCGGGCCTCCTCACGCAACTGAGCGAGCTCGGCCTCACCTGCGTTAGATGGGTTCAGGATTGAGGCTCCGGAGGGAGTGACATAGAGTGACCTGACGCTACTAGGATTTGTGGATAGTTACGGCTAGTCACTAAACCCTGTTGGTGGATCTGGTTTGCAACTGCGGCATGGGCAATGCACGGCTTGGTGCCGGCACCTTGTTCCACCAGAAGTTGATGCGCCTGAGATGCGAAGTTGGCGCAAAAGGACAGAGCGCTTCAGCCATCTGATCTTATCGTCTTATCGTCTCACCAGGCCCTCTAGGCGATGATGTGTTCACCCTGAATGCAACCAGTCCTTTGAGGCGCAGGCCTAGGCCCAAGACGGGGGTTTGGACATGCACAAGTCAAGTCGTTCATGTTTCTGTTGTCAGAGTCAAGCAATGTCGAGCTTTCGTGACGGCACCTTGCTAGCAATTCTTGGACCAAGATTCGTGGGCAATCGTACTCTTCATTGCAAGCCCACCTTTACACACGAAAACTCCACCGACCTGCACGACCTGGAGAGCAGAGTGTACTCAGCTGCATAATCCTACGCTGCCATTAAGGTGGCTCCTATTAGTGTGCACATAAGAGACCCTCTTCAATCCTTTTGCATCACTTTGCCTCTTGCACGCGCGTCTCCTGGAGATGGTGCCCCAAGGATTCGCATCGGCTGCGCATGTCCTGCGGCGGTACACTGAATAGTACACTGGCTCCAAAGGACATTGTCACTCTGGTTGCCACTGAACGAGGCACGCCTGGTAGCGGCCTCGAAGGTCCCGGAGACTTTCAGAAAGCTCCGCGAGCGCAGCCTCCGTGGCGACCTGCCCGCTGCAGCGACTTTCGGCGACTTATAGGATGTGCCGATGTGGGTTGGGGAAAGCTGGGGACGGGTTGGGGCTATCTTTTTCTTCTAGAAGTGGCCGGCTGAGAAAAGACTGGCAGATAAAGCCTTTGGGGAAGTGGCGGAAGAGGTGGCTTCAAGAACGAGGCTTTCAGAACAGTGAATCACCTTAGATACTTCAAGGAACACGCAGGAAGACAAAGTGGGGCCGATGTTCTACAAAGTCGTTGGCAGCCAATGGAAAAGTGGAAGTAGCTCCGTCTCCCGCTAAACTCAGATTCTAGAACAAGCAGTCGAATTCTGCGAAGCTGAGGGTGTACAAGAATACGCTTGTAAGAGCGCCTGGCGGCACATATGGCGCCAGTCCCGTCACCCGCAACAGAATTCGGTCCGAACTTCCGCCCGTGATTTCAGCCAGGGTCGTCTGCCATGACGCCACTCGGAAGGTTTTTCGGAACTAAGAATGCCTCCTTTTCTGCTGGCCTGACAAAGGGTCCTCGGGAGTCCTCGGGAATCCTCCAAAAAAAACGCATTCGAACCGGGACCACCTCACAAGGTTGAGGTGGTTATCATCGGTTAGCTGTTGCCGCGGGCCTCGGAGTTCAGCATCTCCGTGTTGCAAGCCGGTTAATTGGGCACATAGACCTTCTTTTCCGGATGCTGGAAGTTGATCCAGTCGGGGATATATAGACTGTCTGGGTTTGCGTGGTTTGATACCCTCGTCTCTCTGCCTCGAATCTGTTGAGGTTATATACAACTGAGTTACCCTCACGTCTTGCATTCAAGCTTGCGCTCGCATCTGCAAGCGTGGACTCGCGTAGGCCACCATCTCTCGTGCATCCCCATCCCCTTTTCAGCAGAGATGACAGATGTAACGTTGGGACTTGGATGCATCTACCCCTCTGCCCCGATGATGGTGTTTCTCGATGTTTCTCGACGTTTCTCGGCTAGGGAATGCTACGGATCAAAAGGCCATGTGTTGACTTTGTTGGGCCGCTGCAGTGCAGTGACAAGTGTCAAGGCAGACCCCAGGCCTCATCGGCCTCGAAAACATCATCCTGGACCAGAAAAGCAAGCGTGACAGCACAGCGCATGCCCGAGCACGCAAAGGCAAAACCCTGCATGTACAGCCATTGAGGAGGTATCTTGCTAAGCGTTTCCTCAGATTCCTGCTGCACTTCTCCAGCAAAGATCCCATTATTTCTTTCATCATACTTCTGACTGGCAACTTGAGGTGCTGAAGTTTGGCGTGTGTCTGGAAATGCATGCTGTCACAGGGCATGCTTCTGGAGGCCTGACCTCCAGAGTGTCAGGATACGTTTGGCTACGCTCAATGGCAGCCTTGGCTACTTGGAAGTTGATTCATGCGAAAGCCTTCCACAGTTGGAATCCGGGGGTATTGTTGGCATTGTTGGGAATCTCAACGTCTGACTCTCTAATAGCCCAGTGCACCAATGTAGATTTGAGAGTCTTTCTCTCACAACCACCGACAAGCAACAATCACGGGTTCAACCTTCCGTTCAGTTTGAAGAACGCACGGCGAGATTGACGAAGTACAAACAAAAGTGAATGAAAGGAAGAACCTTTAATGAAGTGAACTCAAGTCAACAGATAAAACACACACACACACACACACACAGAGCCCTTCAGAGAACAGCTTAATCAGGACAGGACATGTCGCCACCAGACCATCCACGACTCAAATCGACTCAAGTCCTGAAGGTGCCCTGCCATGGTCTGCAGTAGCTGCAGGATGTCCTGGGCACGTGGCATTGGCCATCGCCACTTCGTGTTTGCCAACCTGTTTCTTGACCGCTCCTGCTGTGCTCGAGCTTCGGCCGTCGTCGGCAGCCGAGAGGGCCGAGATGGAGCGAGCAGGGCCTGGGCAGAGACGTCAGAGAACAGTACTCGAAACGAGAATGGGACAATGGGACTCCCCACTGCGCATGTTGGCAAAGCGCTCCTGCCTTGGCTCGGCTCGAGTTCTCAGTCAGCTGTGGCACAGGGCCCTTCACCTCAGAGTCTGCAACATGCAAGAGAACAGAAGTGCATCCTTGCTTTTTGCTCTGCCAAGAACCCGACCTCGCATGCCAGTTGGTGCCTCAACCGCGAAATCTGACCCTCCAGGCTCGCAAGGGTGCCTGGCGATGAGCAACAGAAAGTGCCATGAGGGGCATGAGGTTTCCGGCAATGGCAGGTGCTCAGCGCTCACATCCGTAACTTGTCCGTAACCGTGACAGATCGTAACAGCCAATACATTGGACTTTGGCAGGTGAGATGTACTCTAGTGATGTCGACGGAGTGCCGCAGACAGGCCTGCCAAGTCCTCACGTGAGCTTGCCAATCGCTTCGTTTCTGGGCCTGCCGGGCATACGAGGTATGGCATGGAGGTAGGCCCTCTCGGCGCAGCTTCCCGTATCATTTCAATATCATCCCCGTATTGTTTGCCTCACCTGGGGATGGTCGAGCTTCCAACCACTTGCGGATGTTGTCTGCTTCGGCATGCAGCGTCTCAACACCTGTTTGCACAAAGTGCCTTCACCCCTTTCTTCACATTTCTTCACCCCCACACATCCGGCCATGCTCGTGCAAGAGTTGGGGGCTAGAGTTGCTGCAGTGTAAAGTGCTCAGCCACATCGAGGTTTACTCACATGACACGCCACCTTGCTCAGCGCGCGGCATGCAAGGCATACACCATGCCTGTGCAGTTCCTACCAGCGCTTAGGCTTAGAGCGCCAGCTTGGACGTCCAGCAAAATCGGCCCGTGCCCACCAAACTGTGTGATCGTGTCTGTTTACACTGCACATCATCACAAAGCCTGGCGTCATCTTTACAACCTGTACATTGCGGGCCGCGCGGGATTCACGTTGCTTTACCCACTCTGTTCGGTGGCGCAGATGAATTCAATGTTCAAGAGGCGTCAAGCCTAAACCGAACCGGAAAGGTGCAAAGGACGGGCAAGGCAAAGCCTGACCTGTACCCGCCAGGTGTTACCATCAATCCATCTCGTGATTCTGATCGGCTTCTTGCAAAGCAAGCACCGGAAAAAAAAACTAACACAACTTGACTTTGCATCGGACGCCTCCAGTGCATGAACATGAACTGTGGACGAACTGCGGTATGCTGTTGTGTACCCTGCTTGGGCTTGGGGCATGCCATGGTTTCTTGCCGCCGAAGAGAACCTGGCAAGCCAATCATGCAGCGTCACGCTTGGCTAAGTCTTCGCCCTCGGGGACCTTTTTGCCGGATTCCGGGTCAATGACCCCCTTGCCCATCGTGCTCTGTGGCTGTGGCTGTGGCATGGCATCCATCATGTTCGGTCTCACAACCACTTCAAAGATGAGCAAGAAAACGGCAGATCCAGCCTCAGTCTGAAGGTGGGCAGCACTTGGTGACATCTCTACCTGACTACTCCTCCCAATGTTGCAATGTTCGCCATACTTGGGGCAGAGAGGCGGCTTGCTGTGCAGAGTACGCCGCCTGTGTAGAGGTCTGCAAGAACCAGCGTGTCAGCCACGGCCCAGCAGTCTGTCCCACACCACCCAAGAGCAACGTCCAGAAGGATGCTCGATTGGAGTCCAGCCAGGAGCCTGCGAGAGTATGCGGAACCCCCATTTTTGGTTCTTTGAGCGCATGTTCAAAGTTCAACGGCTAACACTAGCCAACATGAGGGGCATATGCAAATCACTGCAATCCCTGGAGGAACCTTGGGGTAAGAGGTGTCGCGTCATAACTCCTCGGCCAATGGCATCTGAGATGTAGATGCAAGGAAACAGCAGAGAGTCAGCCACCAATAGCGTCCAGCCGTCTTGGAGGCAAATCCTTTGCTTCTCAGATCGAGATCGATTAAGGGGAACCCTTGTTCGAGAGGCCTAGAGATGTCTGAAGGGCAGGTGCTTGGTGCTTCGCTACACAGGTCCCTGTGAATGCAAGAGGCTTTCGGGCTCATGCTTCCAAGGCTCAGGACAGCACCGAGGATGGCGACCACCGAAAACATTCGGATCATAGCTCTCTCTGAGAAAATCTTCGATAAGCTGCCCTGTATAAACTTCCCAGGTATGCACATGAGGAAAGTCAGGGCGACGAAAAAGCCGATGGTGTGAAGCTCCCAGCCGTAGTTTTGCCTCGAGCACGTGCGAAGCGTGTAGCTATGTTAGCGACTACTTGACCACAATCTGAGCTCCAATTCTTTGGCAAGCTGCTGGAGGAAAAGCGCGGTCGCACCTTCCAAGGCCGTGATCAAGTAGCCACGCAGGCCGGTCATGGCCAAGCATCCTACCACCACCTTCCTCTGACGTGCCAGCGCAGCCTGATGCTGCGACACGGGCGACATGGACTGAGTGGATTGCGAGTCGGTTTCAACAGAAGCCACGGAAGCTTGATCCGTGCTCTGGGCACTTTGGGCACTTTGGGCACTTTGGGCGCTTTGGGCACTTTGGGCACTTTGGGCACTCCCAGGCTGTGGTGCGTTTTGTGCGGGGGCTTCCAACTTCGCTGGAAAGCACAAAGCGACCGCCAGGGCAGTGCCCAGTGTCAAGATCACTTTCATGACACCCAGTTGCCAAAACTGAGGGCCAAACTGCCCCTGGCAGGGAGTCACTGTGTGGTAGAAGGCTGCTAACAGGGGCCCCAGGCCGCAGCCGAGCATGTTTGCAAAGAGGAAACGGACCATGTGCTGGGATTTCTCTGATGGGCGACTGCCCTTGGCAATGCAAACTAAGCCGACCTGCGAGGCTGCCCCGGCCCCCAAGCCTGCAAGAATGCGGCTCAGAAGGAGGAGGGCGGCAAGGCCCTGCTGCCACTCTAACTCCTCCCCGCGGCCGACATAAATGAGACCCGTTGGAACACAGTACAGCAGTGGACCACATGTGCAGCACAACATGGGCCAGAAGATGGCCCGTCTGGCGTGGGTGCTCCAGAGCTGCGGGTAGAAGCACTGGAGGACGGTTGAGAAAGCCGCCCCAGCCAGGTTTGCTGCCATGAAAATGCCAATCAGCAAACCTGAAAACGCCGCTGACTGGTCCACAGCTCTCGACACATCGTATGCATCCACGATTGCGGCGGTGTTGCTGGCCAGCATGTTGCATTGTGCCAAGACGATGACATCCACTGCAATCTGGATGCCATGACGACTCCGGGCCCTGCAGCAAAGGCCCGCAAGCACTAGCCCCGCGACTGCCACCGAGGTCACGGCCGGAATCGCTTCGGACCAAGGTTGGCACATCTCAATCTCTGATCTAACTTGTGGATCACTCTTTGGGAATTCGAGCCAAGTGCCTGCTCTTACTTGCACTTTTCAAAGCACCGCATGACATTCACAGTGTTCCTCCGCAGTCTGGGGACATGAGTCTTGCAGCTTGGGGCACTGATGGAGTCCGGCCAATCCATGCTTGGACTGCAGCCGTGACGTGTACGATGTGTACGTTTGGGTTCTTTCAAGCTTTGCTATCTCTTCGCATCCAAACTGCCTGTGTCTGCGCTGACTTTTTGCAAGGCTGCGGTGGAACTGTGGGCAATCGCCAGCGCTGCGGACATGCGCATGAGCCAAGAGCACGACTGGATGATTGCCAGGAGGGCCAAACAGTTCTCTCCCAGGGATTCGGGAATGCTGGGCTCAATGGCTGTCCCCCGTGTCTCACACCGACCACCGGAGCAAGCCACGATCCGCAGAAGTTCCATCATGCCAAGTTCTCAACAAAAAGCACGACAACCAGCCAAACCCCGCTGATTCTTTACGAGGCAAAACAAGGAAGCGTCGAAGTAAACCTAGCCGTCTACTCTGCTCTCTGCCAGGCTCTTAAGCGCGGATCACCTTGGCAGCAATCAGGCCGGCATGCTGAGGGAAACTCGCGGGCAACAGGCCATCCCACCGCTGGCCATCTTCCACATGCAAGCATGGAGGCCGCAACTCAAGGGCTCGCCCTCCGAGCCCCTGACAGTCCAACTGGCTGGGGTTTGGCAACGGTAGAAGTCCGTCCGGTTCACCACCTGAACTCTCAAGTCACATCACGAACCTACACTGCGGACCAGGGCCCAACGCCGACGCACATGTCACACATCACATTGGAGCTTTTCTGCGGCCTCGACTTTAGAGTCTCGCAGCAGCAACACCGAAACAGGTGGGTGAGACGCTTCATTTCCTTCTATGCTTTCGGGATAAAATCTCTTGCCGCAACCTTCAGAAGAAATGTCATAAGAAGTGCTTACCACATGCTTGCCATTGTTTGCTGCACTCATGTTGCGACCGTCATCATGAAGGCGAGGCTGCTAGCGGCGTGGCCTCCGCAGAAGCTGTGCCATATCACGCGCCGCACACTCTCACAAGCAAGCTCAGAGTCGAGGGTATTAAGAAGTGCTAAGACTCGCTAAGCCTCGTTAAGGCTTTCAAGTCGTTAATTGAAGAGGCCCTCGATCCTTGCGCAGCCTGCTAAAATAATTCTTCCTTGCAAGCACCCTTTTCATGCCCCCAGTTTCGCACGTTTCTCCTCCCGTACATCGGGCTTGCGGGCCTTGGGCATAGGGTCTTTGGGATGATTCTGGGGGGTTTGTATGGATCGATGGCTGTGGGATCAGGCAGTGGTCCTCCTCCCCTCAGCCCATCTGCAACCGTCATCCGGTTTCAATCGGAGTGTATTGGAGTTCTTACCGCCCCAGATACCTACAGAGTCAGCAACTCCAACATGGTCAAGTGCTCGCGTGAAAGTGCCAGTGCCCTGCGGTGCCGTGATGTGCCCATCTCTGTCGCTTCGCTGCCACTTCTTTCGACCCACATGGTTATGAAGTGTTATGAAGGGGTCTCAGGGCTTTCTTGTGCTCTGAAGCGTGGCTCACGGACAATGCAAAGAAAAAGTGCTCCAGAGGACTCCAGAGTGCACGACTTGGGCTAAGCCGACGGCTGTTACCTTGCCAGCAGCTAAGCCGCTGCCCGCAAAGAAGCCACCACCAGGGCGACGGTCGTGGAAGCGTGTCCTAGCAGGTCCCGGGCGAAAGTGACGCCAAGCTGAGCTTTGCGAAGCATGCAGAAGGTGACAGTTGGCTCAGCGCGCTCGGGGTCGGGTTTTGCGAAGTCTTACGCCACAAGGAGAACCCTTACATTCCCAAGGGAGCTCGCCATCTGTGAAGCCAAGAGTCAAGAACGGGTTCAGGTAAGGTCCTCGGCTGCAACATGCTGCAAGTGCCCACGGCTGCACTCCCCTGCCATGCATTTGAAGGATGTCGACGGGAGCGAAGGGTGGCAACTCGGTGCGGGCAGGAGCTCCCATTTCGTTGCCTTGGCGTATTGGGGCCCGTGGCTCGAAGCAGCCCACGTCCTGTGAGGCTGGTAGCCTCGGGAAGCGTTATTGCCAGACTGTTCTGATCCGTGAACAGATTTCGCAATAAGGTGCTGTCTCTACTCAGAAGGATCGCTGAAAAGTCTCGGAAGTCAAGAGACTTGAAGGTGGCCGCTTCCATGGCCCTCGCAAGTCTCCGGTGCCTTCGTGCACCCTTGCTGCGTCCTTCACTGAGCACTGCCAGAGGACTTCTTGCAGATGTGGGCAGTCATTCCGAGTTGATTCCGCCAAGTTCTGCCGAGCTTCTGCTGCGGCTGGGGCGCTCAAAGGTGGCAGCGCACGGCCAATGCAAAGGCACCTCAGATGGACAACTTTCGTCAGTGCTTTGCCTGGCCAGCCTACAGGGACTTAGCGACATGTGTTCAGTGCAAAGTAGTTTGAGCGACAAAAGAAAACAACATACCTAAATCGAGGTCGTTGGGCAAGCGCCGTCTGTCTTTGGCAGCCGCTGTTTCGGCTGGGGTCCCGACCGCGGGTTCGTTCACCCCATGCGATGAGCGGGAGAGGTCGGAGTCGGAGGTCCTCCCGACAAGCGCGATGTCAACAAGGCCCTCTGTCTTTTCAGCTGCGCTGCTTGGAGATGCTTTGAAAGGGTCCTCCTCTTTAAGGAGTCCTGGCTTCCAGCCTCCCCCGCCCTAGCCTCTGCACATGCTGCACAGACAAATCTGCCTGACACATGCCGCGCAAAAGTGCCTTGCAGTGCCGTGCAAAGCGCCTCCAGCCGTAGGTTCGGCTCTGAGGGATAGCGGGGGCGCATCATTGCATCGGGCAAACCAGCCTGAAACCAGTCTGCAAGTTGCGTGTATTTGCATTGCCAATCATGATCAATCATGCCAATCATGTCCAGTCAGATGCCGTCTTCTGAGACTCTTGAGATCTCTTGAGATTCTGTGGCACTGCCTTCACAGGCACCATCTCGCAGGAAGGCAGGATCTTGCAGAGTGGCTCCACATGCTTTCCACGCCGCATCGCGCGGGTTAAAGAGCCGGCATTCGTAAAGCTGATATTCAGGCTGTCATATCCTGAAGGCGGGGTTGTGCCCGAAAGGGCGACTAATTGGCGGCTTACAAAGCAGAGCCAGCACAACCAGTTGCTAAATATCATCCCAGGCTCTCAGGTGTGTGACCGGATGTGGTCTGAAATCTGCTTCACGCAGCTTGTAAAGCCTCTTCTTGGGAAAGCAACTCCGAGCATAAGCCGTGTGTGTGTGTGTGTCTGTGATCCTACCATACCCCACCCTTACGCTGACATCATCTGGATCACACCAAAGAGGTGCTGCAAAGTCGGCGAAGCACTTCCCGAGCTTTGGCACTCGCGAAGTTTTGCTTGGGCCCTTTAAGCCTGGAAGTATCTTTGAGTCTCAATCTCGTTTCAAGCCTTGAAGTACCTATAAGTCTCAATCGCCCAGATTTTGCTTCCGGGGACTCGCTGAAACGTAGCACTTCTTGCTGCGCTTTCTGCTGCGTTGTCTCCATGGCTAAGGCGCCATCAGTACCAGAGGAGCTCAAAGCTAAAGACATCTGAATTCTATCCCTAGTGACCTTAACTCTGCTGCCTGGGCTGCCTGGGCTGCCTGGGCTGCCTGTCTGACCACGGCCATGAATTGCACAGGTACAATCATGTCGAACGAAGTGCCAGGCAACATTGTAACTACTGTCTACTGCAGCCGAAGCAGCGCGACGGACAAGCTTGCTGTAACTAGGAACTTGTCCGTGCCACATGTGCCACTGTGCCACCACTGTCCGGCAATGACGTGCCAAACGAGTTTTTGCAGCGCGTCTCTCTGGGCAGCGGACTCTAAGTCCGATGTTCTTCAAGGGCACACCAAGCGGTGAGGCGAGCTTCGGCGACCTCAATCGCTGCAACGACCTCAACCTCAACATGGGTCCCTGTCCCAAGTCAAACTCATGAGCCCTCATGCTGGTCTGTGATGGTCTATGATGGTCTGTGCTTCACCTCGGGAACTGCAATCCCATCATCCTGCTACTGCGGCCTCCCCAGCGGGTCCCCCGTGCATGCGCAGCAGACCTTTTTCACCGAGTCAGAGAAAGTCCGGCATGCGGCGCAGCGGCACATCTACCGCCATGCCCCTCATTGGCATCAAGAGGAGAACCCCCGCGCAGGGTCCTGCAGAGTTCTGCCAAGCCTCTACGCGCGTGATTTCGTGCAGGGCATTCTGCGACTGGTCGAGGGCTTCTGCACTGCGGCTGGCTGCCTGTTCTGCCCAAGCTTTGGCCGATCTGGTGTGAATCATTCCAGCCACATGAGCCGTGAAGTGTGCTGCGTCACGCACGTCCTTGACGATATCCTCCGGGTCAGGTCCACATGAAGTCAACAATGATTCAACACAGCAGCTGAAGAGTCCTGCCTCCAAGCATGCTCGGGGTGAGGCAAAGAACCAGCCACAGCTGCTGAAGGGCCACCAGCCAGCCTCCTTGAGGTGGAAGCCGTTTATGTCTTGAAGTGCCTCTGGGGCCACCATCCCGGAAAAGACCGGCGATTGGAAGGAGAAGCCCTTTGTAGAAACATGCTGATTGCTGCTCGCTCATATTAAGCACTTGCCTCTCCATACGGCTATTCATGTGTCACGGCTTGCGGTGAATCCACTCAGCTCAGCTCTTGAGCCGCAACACTCGCCCTGAAAAGCATGGCGCACGCACAGAGACAACTCGCAGGAGCCACATCACCGAACTGCTGCGCACAAAGCAGCTCTTTTAGGCCGACGGCGTGTTGCTGCTGCTTCGCTGCTGTCCAGACTGCAAAGCCAACTGGCCTACGGCACACCATTGCATGCCCGCACCTTCCCCTTGCCCCATCTTTTCAAGGAGCATCGCGGCCCCAAGTTTGGTGAAAGCGTTGGCTCGCTGCCAAGTAAGCGTCATCTGACGAAGAGTGTCGATATCCTCAGCTGGCGGTGCTTTTGGCCAAGCTGTGGGGATTGGGGCGGTTCGCACATGATCTCCTAAGCACTCCTTCAGTCCAAGCGGCGCCATTATCATACACGCTACGCTGACGAAGGGGCTTAAGCGGTCTCCGATCACTGCGAACCGGCCAAACATGCCCAGGAAGCCGGGCGCCTGGTTGCAAATCCCACGCGGGCAAGAAAACTCACATGGATCAAGCCGTCCCTAACTCGAACATGCCGTACCGCTGCCATACCAAAAAAGAAAGGCTATACCAGAGGACACCCCAAGGACCTTGGGCTGCAGAAAGTTCCCAAAGCGCGGTCTCAAGTATGAGCAAGTGCAGATGCTGAGCAGCATGACCACCAACAAGCCCTGGAAGTCAAAAAGGGCCGACATGGTTCTTGTCCTGGGTACTTGTTCAAGTGTTGGGCTAGTTCAACCACGTGTGGGAGCAGAGTAGAGGCATAGCACCCGCACTTGTGGAAGGGCTTCCTTAAGGCTTTGACTTTAGAGATGTCCCCAGACTTGCCAATGCCAAAAATGCCAAGATTCCCCGGGCGGGGTCCACTGGGTCCACCAGTATTCGAGGCAACCCGCTTGGCTTGAGTTAAACGGCGCGGACACAACTCAAACTTGCACGTCAGCTCAACGACTTCTTGAGCCAACCTGCGCTTTATCTGCGCACCGTGAAAAGCCAATGAATTCAATCATTCTGCTCAGGCTCTAGCCAGACCAGTGGTGACACAGCTTCGCCGGAACCTTCAGTACACATCATACAGGCATGACCTAAACTGCACCGGCGAACTGATGTCTCATTTACAGCCAGGCCGCTGAGAACAAGATCGTTGGCAACATCCTTTGTTTCTGGCGGCGCTCCGGTTACAGCCCGCGTTTCTTGAAACATCAGCGACTTGGACAAATGGAAGCCTTCCTTGACACGCCCTGCCCCACAATGAGCTGAGCGGCGAGGACTGTGCCACCATGTATTCGCGGATCATCCCCGACCTCGCCAGAGGTACCGGCACGCGGAGACCCGGCAAAGAGTCGAAGAATGTCGAAGAATATCGAAAAGCACTTAGTGAGAGTTTTTCGCCTTGTACCGAACCCGGAAGCCTAGAAGCTTGACCACCCGGACATGGCCCACCATCTAGACTCTGGATATGACATGCTTTCACCCACGGAGACGGCATCGTCCACCTACAACCGAGACTTAAGGCGGTCACTGTGCTCCAGGTTGGGGCGAGGATCTCGTGGTCCTGTAAGGGCTCGGGAAGTGCCAGTGGGCTTCCAGAACGACTCGTGCAGCTGACGCAACGATGCAAACCCACACTTTGTCGCAGAAGGCGGGAAGTTCTTGCCGACGTCTGCGCCATCGCATGTGCAGGCAGCGCGCCCACATGCAGTCATGCGTTGATGCCGGGAATGGGCGGCCCCACATCTAATTCGATCTGGGCATCGAATTCATCCCACTCCAGGCCCTCCACCTCAAAGTAGGTGTCACTTGCATGGAGGCGCAAGAACTCGTTGAGGATGATTGCCTCGAATTGGCCAATGTCGTGGCCCACCCCTTGGCGTGTCAAACACCATGGCATGCATGGCAACAAAGAGGAGCGTGCAAAGAAATTGCAAATCAACGGCCAATCAGCCTCGCTTTTGCAGCACACGGCACCTTCGACCTCCTTGAGCTGCAAACCTGGCCATCCGTCAGGCCTGCTGAGCGCTCGCTGCAGAGACGACTGCACCTCAGGCACTGGCGTAAGCTCCGCTGAATGCTCCGCTGAGCGCCCTTCAGTTCCTTTCGGAGACTTTCGGGCTGGGGCTTCCACAAGGTCAAATGGGACTTCCTCCGTGTCCTCTGGTGCTGTTTGTAGCCACACCGGCTGAAGCACCTGTGCGAATGCCGAAGAATCACAAGGAATGCCCGGCAATGTCCTTGCAATGTCCTTGGTACCGCTCCTGCCGGCTGTCCTCGAGGAGTGTCCTGCAAGTTTCAGCCACTGGGTCATTGACTGTCGGGTTGGGAGGGGTGTGATGGGGGGTGGCAGGGGAGGGGGGGGAGAAGGTGATGGGCTGCTTCTACCAATGGCGCATCTGCAACCCCTACTTATCTCATGCTCTGAAACCGCGACAACTTGTTTTCCTAAACTGTTCCCCTGCCGTAAACCTATAGGATTTTCAACTCGAGGATCATCCAGTGACGTGGCAAGTCAAAGGGTCCGCAGTGCTTCATCGGAGCCAGGAAAGCCTTGCTGGTCGCTGGGCAGGAAGCCGACCTCGAAAAACCGAAGGGCAAGACTGGGTCGCACAACTGGGCAACCCAGCGCAAATCACGACCGGGGAGCGCACGCTACCAACAAAGCCACCAATGTGCAGCGTGGATGCTAGCCTCTAACTAACTGACCCCGACTTGATTCTGAGCAACGCTTCCGAAGTAGGTGCTTCATACTCTGTGCGTCCAGGCTGCCGTAGGTAGGCATCGAGCCTGTTTGGAACATATCATATCGAATAGCGACGACAACCTGTAAGACGTTAAGACTTCTACGCAGCAAAAATCCGGCTGGCTGTGTACTGAGTGTATTGAGTGTACTGGGTTGCCACCAAGTTGAGTGCACTGGGTTGCCACCAAGTTGCGCCATGTTGCATCCCTGAGTGTTGGCAGTCAGTGGGGCAACTTTGTTCTGTGGTCCCTTTCTCATGCTTCCCGGCTCTTCAGTTCCTGTTGTCCCCGCAATGCTGCAAGCTGCTCAAGCCAACAACCTGGAGCATGAAACCTTCCATGAGCCCCAATGCACTTGCTTGGCTTTTGTACGCGCCTGGGAGATGCCACCAAGGAATACGCGGCGGCCCTGGGATGTGAACACAGGACTCAGCACACGCCCACATGCAAAGTTGAGCACTCAATGACTCAACCCTTCGTTCCAACCTTCCTCCAGAACTGGTCCCAGCGTCGTCTCCATCCAGTCGTCCGATCTCGCTCAGGACTACCTGCTGGGCACGGCCATCTACGAAACAGCGACAAAAAGCATGAGCCACTCTGCTCCGTTTAGCTTGGCCCTGATGAATGTATATCAGTATCTCTGTCTCATGCTTGCAACAAGGTGACAATCTGTTTGGTCTGCACATGACCACGCCTCATCTAAGGCCTGCCGGACAAATCGCAGGCTGTCCGGGTCGGCCACCTCGGGCGGCAAGTTCGGTTGCACGACCTGTTGCGTTGCCCTTGTGATGGGGGGGGGGGGGTTCGGGGGCTTCCCAACAGGAGCCTCGCGGCGGAGGTTTGTTGAAACTCTCACAGCTCCTCAAGCACTCCGCACGGCCTCATTGCTGGTCAGAGCCTTGTAAACATACCTTGGAACGGGATGTGCTACAATATGCCTGCTTACAACATGCTACAGAGGACAGCAAAGCTTCCCGGGTCGTGTCATCAAAACCAGCTAGACCAACGCATGTAGGTGCCATCAACCGCACAGAGCTGCCACGAAGCCAGCTCCTCACCCCATGGCTGCATCAGGTGTGGCGCGCTCGGCAGCACCGCACCTGACTCTCGGCTCGAAGTCACTGTGCGCATCTGAGGATGATTCAAGCTGCCGTTCTACGAAAGCCGGGGCACGGAGTCCAGGGGCATAGGAGTCACCTGCACAGCACCGCTCAGCGGCCCCATCTGCTGGATTCTCTCATACCACTCCACCTAACCGCCAAGGCAGCTCCAGTTCGCTGTCGGCGGATACATAGCTGCCACCACTCCCTTGCCGGATTGCAGCAGGGCCGTGGATCGTATGTATGGACAGCATCTGGTATGCTATTCAACTACTGGATGACGGACGAAGTCGCTGCCAGAACCATGGGCACTCTTCCCCTGATGTATTTTAAGCCAGTCTAGCAAGACAGCAAACTCTCCAGCGCGAGCTGCAGCGAGGCTTCTTCGGAGATTCTTTGGGTGGGATACGGAGACGCTCTTCAGTACACTGATGTATGCTGTGTCAGTTCACCAACCACGCTTACCAAAAGACTTGCCGAGCGCTCGTTCCCCAACTCGCCCCATCTTTCCACACATTGCGGTTCAGGACGGCGTGATGAAGGACAGACTTCCAAAAACAAACTCCTCGAACCTCATGCATACGCATGCCGTATGCCCCCAAAGACAGACAGCTGCCATGCCCACTCCCAGGTTTTTGCAATTGAGCCTCCCAGACCATGGAGGTAGATCAAGGTGTAGCGGTGTGGGCTCCCTGCCACTGGCGAGACGATGTGCCTTAGAATCCAGGAACGTGGAGAGACCTCTGGTTGAACCATCTCACGGGACTGACACTGCGGCCTGTGAGCCCTGTCTGCGCAAAGTGGCCCCCAAACTATCCGAAGCTGCCCATCGAGCTCCACCGGCACAGCCTTCCTCCGCAAGCTTCCCCCACTTCGCCTACGTGCAGCTGCCAGGACTGCTAGCTTAGGGCCCAGGGTGATACCACTGCGGCAGACAGGCGGGACCCAGCTAGCACACTACAAGAACGCTAGCTCTCTTTCTCTTTTTCTCTCCTTCCCTCCCCCCCTCCCTCCCGACATCAGTGTTAGCGCATGACTTCCTTGAAGATGCACAACGAGAAGATGAGTGTCGCACCGTCCGAGATTCGCGACTCGCAGCCCACCTTTCCAACCAATGCTTTGCCAGGCAATGCCTGCGAGCTCGGGACCCAAAGCCCCGTAGGCAGCCAAAAAGGTCCTTCACAAATCAACCTCAAGCCCACAAGCATCTATAAACTCTCTCCGTGAGACTTTCACATGCTGTGAGTTGGGTTCCTGAGGGCTCCTGACTTGTGCCGTACGATTGTCGTATGTGGGCTTCTTGAGTTGGGTCCTTTGTGCATGGAAGAGAAAAAACACGCAACCTCTCGCAACCAGATGTTGCCCCGTAAAATTTTATACCCCAACGACGCCCCCCCTTGGGACACAGCGAATTGGCTTTTTTCTCCTTTGGGAGAGCTGACTGGTACCATGTGAAAAATGGCTTGAAAATCTAAACAGACCGTCGAAGGCTTGGGGGGGAGGTCGCGTATGGGAACAAAGGCACAACCCCGCGCACAAGCTGGGTCGCGTCTCCCGGGGTCTGCCCAACTTCTTGCAATCAGTTCCCTCCTACTGGGTCTCTTATGGCAACAGCACACCTAAGTAGGACAGAGGGCGCAGAGATAGCCCCAAGCTCCCCTTAGAGACATTGCTCTCATCCGCCCCCTCAGGCCGGTACAGTTACAGCATGCGCCTAGTGAGGGTGTGCTGCAGCCAGCTTCGGAGATCCCCTCATGGCGGTGAACCCCCGAAATTCACCAGCCCAAGCCCAGCATGCACCGGACTTTGCGGAGGCCGGGGGTTCATGTGCCTACTGAACATGCCAAGAAGAATCCCGGAAACTGCATCTGAAAAAACAGCATGGGCCCCATGTCCGCGCCTGCCACAGCCAAAGGCAAGACAGCCTGCTCCCCGCTGGGGCGCTTTCTGTTGGAGCAGCATGGGCCTCCAGGACTGGTGCATGGCTCCCAATGCTCCCATCCTCCTCTATGCTCCGACTGCGGGCCGAAGCTTGCAGGCCTCGGCTCGGCCTGGGAAGCCCTGTGCCGATTGGCCGCTGGCACAATCCGGGCACTCCGGGAATGACCCAGGACATGGCAGGAAGCGCCGTCGCGCGCGGGGCCCCATGAGACGCAAAGGGATGATTCTTTCAGGGTGCCTCTTAAAAGGCACATGTTGTGCAAGTCACCAAGTCAGAGTTCTACATGAAAAGTTCTGCCATCTTCACGCTTAGCCTGCATAAAATGGCTGCAGCAAGACCTCGTGCAAGTTCAGGGGGGCCCAAGGCAGCGAAGGTTCGGCGTCTGTGCTCTCCTGCATCGCGCGTCCGGCACTGCTGTTGCAGCTGCATCCATCTTGAAACTTGCCACCTGAAGGTCGCCAGCGCCATGCACATCTCGCCTCGCATCATGAAGAGCTTGGGGCGTCACAAAACCACGTCGTCTGGGAAGAAGAGCTCGTAGCCACATCTAAGAAACGCCTCCCCCGGAATGGCGATGATTCACGAACTGCATGGAAAGGCCGCAGTTAAATTTGCACATTCCGGAGCTGGCCAGGTCTGCGCCACGTTATCCCAGTACTCCACCCTGAGTTCACATTCAAGAGATGCATGTCGGGGTACACTATCAACAGCGACCCCCAGCATGCCAAGTCCAGCAATGCAAATGTCATCCGAGGGCACGGCCAGTTGTGGTTGTTGAGATACCTGCTACACGGCCGTTCCACTTGATACAGCATTCTTCGGTCATCACGTTTCATCAGTGTGCTTGGGTATGCGAGCTCAGGGGGCGCATCCCGCCAACAGGACCACCGGAAACTCCGCCCTTCCAGCAGAGGGACACCTCCAGAACAAAATAGCATATCTATGCCTTGGCATCGCAACACCACCCGGAATTGTCTGCTATCTGAGGGCGCAGCATTGGCATTTGACTTTGCTAAGCCTGGCGCAGCATGAGTGGCAGGCTCGATTCACAGAGCACCCCCTCGCAAGGCACAAAGATGCACAAAGCTGTGTGGAATTCATTCTCCGATGTGTGGGATCGGCATTGGGGTCATCGGGCTTAGCGAGTTGGCTTACACTCGAACCTTGCACTGAGAGCCGGACCACTGAAAATGCCAGTGTTCCAGCAAGGCCTCCAACGATTCCCCATGGTACGGCACATTAGGCTCCAAAGTATTCCGCACGACTGCCTGATCAGACTCAAAGCTGAGGTAAAGACGAGCCCACCTCCCTTGCTGGAACTCCTACCTGAGTTGATCTCATGCACTTCACAAAGTGTCGAAGATCGCGCGCAAATCGTCTCACTAGCCTCTCTCTCCTTGTACAGCTAAGCTCGCAGCCGCTCTCAGGGCTGAGGACAGGAACTTGGCCCAGCCCTCAGAGCGTATTGAGGCAAATTACGCCACAGCACACAACATGAAGACAAATCACTTCGGTGCCGGGCCGTGCAGCTGCCGTAGCCATACAGCAGGAAGTCTGCCGGGGCGACCTCAAGCTCTGCGAAGTTCACGTGAAGTTCACGTGAAGCTCACGTGAAGCTCACGTGAAGTTCACGTGAAGTTCGTGAAACAGAGCAAAGCGCCGGGCCACTGGAGGGGTGGACCCTGAAGCGAAGGGTCCCAACTCCTTGGCGTTGCATAACGTGAATGATGACCCAATGATCAACGAAGCATGCGCAAGCGACCACGCGAGGCTTGAGCATAAACGTTGTTGGAAGACTTTCCAGGGAAATCCGCCCACCTCCACGCATGTCTGCAGAGTCTGCCTTTCCTACCCTTGCGCGGGCATCTGCGCACCTAAAGGCCGTCCAGTTCATCAATCGAACTCCATCAGAAATCAGGGCGTCGACCTTTAAAAGGCTCCACAAGGTTCTTCCACAGCAGGGTGATGGCAGCAGGCAATGGTTCCGGACTGAAACTTGAGCCACCAGCATCCAAATTGGCATCACGCACGCTTCGCCAGTCTGTAGGTAACTTACATATTTTCCATGTGAGCAGTTCTTTAATGAAGAACTCTGTAGTGCAGCCATGTGCAGCCGCGATGATAACCTTCGGACCTGATACTGTATCTGGGCGTAGGGCCGCAAAAATCTGGAAACACCCGCCGACCCTCTGGTCACCGCTCACTATCGATTGCTGTACTGCGCATTGAGCGCCTGGCGATTTGTTGACCTGGGCTTGACGTTCTGCAGCATGGAGTGTCGAGCCGCGAGCCGTGGCTAGTGTTTAACAACAAACATTTTTTGAAGAGTGGCCTCTGACAGAGAGAGAGAGATAAACAAAAAGGCACCATGAACTGAGTGCGACACTGGTCTGGAGTTCAGCAGCTGCCGAAAAGTACTTCGCGAAGAAAAGCGGGCGCCAGTTTGACCCTTGGACATGAAACTAGGTGATACTAGTCTCAGCGTGTCCGTGTGCTTCATGTTAGGCACACAAAGTGCGTTCTGATAACAATCTGCACAAGTCTGGAGCTGAGAACTCCAGCTTGCTTCGTGGTAGCTCGCGTACGGGAGCAAGTACGGCAAAATCACAGACATAGGAGGCCTCCATGGCATTTGCCAGCTGCTCACGTTCATGCATCCTAGACTCAGAGTTGTCGCAGCCACCCGAGATCTCTGCGAAAACACACATTGTGAAAGCCCCAGATGCTTGTCATACACCCGGTCAATGCGTTCCCAGATTTCAAAGCTGAGGTATGCCGACCAAATGTAGGCAAGAGTGTCTAACGCGCACGAGCGACATGCAAGTAATATAGCGGCTTGGAGATATGGAAGAAAATAAAACGCAGAAAACACGACAAACAACTTCTGCTGCCCTTTAGACTTTTCTTACTCCGGCTGATCCCGGGTTTCTCCAAAACTATGAACATACCGATGCACGTGCATGAAGAGATAAGTAGAAAGTGAGAGGTAACAAAAACAGTGAAACAAGTGAAAGCGTGCAAGATCGTGCAAGTGCCTCGGGGTCATCTTTGAAGCGTTCCAAGCCTGAATCAACAGTATGAACTATCAGAAAGAGCAAAGGTTCTAGCACCGAACGAGCTGTCGAAGCTTTGACAGAAGCCCGCTCAGCGCAGAGCCATAAGTGCAAAAGCAATGTTGTCGTCTAGCATGGATTCACCATCCACAGAAACAGAGCCTTTGAGCTTCAGGATCCATCGACATTGCTTGGAATCAGCGCTTGCGCATTCTGCAGCAGTCGTTCAGCACTTCCAATTTTGCGAGGCCTGGCAGGAAGTGCAGGTCGAAGTCGGGCATGTGGCTGAGCAGAAAATGCCTCTGCTGCAAGCGCAATGAACACCCGCAGCTTGCGACGAAAGCTTAAACGGACACAATTTGGGAAAACGACTACGAGGCACATTCCATCGCCTTTTGAAGGTTGAGCTTTGCCTGTTTGGTGTACCTTTCTCTTCCTCCTCGAAATGATGGCCCTGCGATTTATGAACAAGAAAAGAAGAGGCTGACAACAGCTCAAACCGCCTCAGCAAGAACTCTCTGCCACAGAGGCAAAGGTCGAGCATTGTATTCATGCCACCCCTGTTGGGCCAAAGCACCGTGCAACGCACCAGTCCAGCTCCGCAGCCATTTGCCACGCCGCAGATGCAACGGCACCGTCGGCTTCCCCCTGCAAGAGGTTTCTTTCTCACTTCGTGTCGGGAATCTGCAGACTTTTTGAGTGTTGGGTCTCTCCGTCCTCCCTGCGCCAGCAGCGAACTTGGCGGTCAGCATCAACTTGGCAATGGCACGCCTGCTGGAGTGATGGCATTTCCCGTGCCCGCAATACATGGTACTCACATGACCTCCATCTGCTGCGTGATCCATGCTGGATACCTCCCACGAGGAATGAAAACGGTTGTGTTGAGAAGGTGTAAGTCAACTGCTCCGGCCACCTGCTTGCAGTATCCATACCCTGCAACATATGTAAACAGCTGACTCTTCTTTCATTCCACACGAACACATACACACACACACACACACACACCGGCACATGTTGCCACAGTCAACTGCTTCTTGCCTGAAACTAGAAGAAGGGCCCTTTTGGTTGCTTACGCGAGCAAAAGACGAACTGCCTGAAGGAGTCGTGGCCAAAGTTCTCCAACCATGCCTCAGCAGCCCACACCCCAGGGCTCCAGTGAATTCAGCTGGCAGGAGCTGCGATCAGATTCCCACCTTCCAGGGCACATCCGCACCGCGGACGGCGCCCAGCAGAAGACAAGCACATAAAGCGCGTGTCATGCTGCCAGGCTGGCTCAGAGTAGGACAGAATGAAGCTTGCAGCGTCAACAGCTTGAGGAATTGCAAGGGGCAACTTCTGTGCGAGACTATTGGCGGGTCGCCGACGATTCTCACCACCCCTACTGTACCGGAATGCAACGCTTGCCTTTCATCCTTGCAAGAAGTCGACCTAGGTCACAACATGACTCGTGTCCTTTCTGTCTACTCCATCTTCCTGGAACAAGATGTGCTTCCCAAGCTGCGCAGGTCTACTTGTGTTGGAGGTACTGCACAGTGCCTTCAGTTTTATGTTCTAATCCGCCATGCCCGCGCCACAAGTGTTGCGAATGTGTGCTGGAAACCTCGGAGGGCATGAGTGACGAAGCATCATGAAGATGCACCTCTGACGGACGCCAACGACGTGGGTAAGACGACTGCGGACCTATATTCTCTAGCTGCACCTGTCACCCAACACAATACCGGCCACATGATTGGAATGCAGGATGCACCCTGAAGACTTAGCAGGTCTGTTTTGGCTATGGCCAGTCCTGATAAGGTTCATCTTGGGGACCCCATTGCTAAGAAAACGAAGGGTGTCGCGTGAAGACACTGGAGAAGTGCAGTTGGAATCCTCCTTCTCCCGGCATGAGCAGAGTGATTCGCACAAACGGCCATGCACCTTGCCTCTGTTTTCGTCGAAAGCTTCGCATTGCCTGAGGCCCAAGAACACATGGAATTGCTTCTCTCGCACCTCAGCCACTATATGCAAAGGATGCCGGCTGTTCTCAGCACAAGGCACCATGCTAAAGATAGCCCACCATGAGCTGGCGTGCAAACATCGTTTGATGCTTCGATTCGATGGGCAGTGTGCCAGAACTCGGCT